GTGTCAGAGTGAAAGAGGGTGATTGGCAACAGGTGGAACAGTTAATAGGTAAACCTGTAACACACGGGCGTGATGGAAGTGTGATGAGGTGAGGTTGCTGACCCCGTCGTGAACATCAGACAACACATGTTGACGTCGCCTCGGACAGCTTTGATTTATTGCCTCGCCACGGAGCGGACTAGGTTTCAGGCTCGCTGCAATGCAGGTTTGTTTTCAGCAAGGCCACACTTTTCAAATTCAAATTTTATGGGTTTTTTTGTTACAAGACTGTATGACGAGGGATGACATCAACTTTCAAATCGTACATTTTCCCTTTATGTCGAGCAATAGTCCTGTATTCCAGCCTTGGTGTCTACATTTTACAACTTGTGAGGTACAATCGAGAAATGTCTTTTCCCATGAAGATTATGAAGGGAGTCTTGCGACGTTTGATAAAGGTTGAAACTTTTAAGGCCCCAGTAAAGTTTTCAAGAAGTTTTATGGTAGACACGTGGAGGACATTTCCAAATGTGAAGCATCTGAAACAGTTCCTTAGTTTGACTTGTACCATATGTTCCCGTGTTTTATCAGGTGAATAGTTGACTTGTGTTTGCGTGTGTTTGTGACGGGTGCCATCGGTGGGGCAGGATACGCTCAACTGATATCAGCACTATTTGATAGTGATTCACATACACATGCTCATGATATAGTCGGAATCGTTCAATCGTTTTGGTAGAGATTTCTTGTGAATATGGAAAGGGGTTTGTCACTTTATTGTTAATAAATTAGACTTCATAGTCGACATAAAATGAAATAGAATAAGTTGCTCAATATTTCTGGCATATTATCCGGCATACAGTAGTTGGTTTAATAGGAAAACAAAACGTCTAATTCTGTTTAAACTGCAGCCCATATGATATTAACACGTACGTGGAATTACTTGCTTCACAACAGTCTTTTTCGTGAATGGGTTTAACACTGGTCAACGATATACAATACATTGGATTGATCACTCTGTTGATCTGATTTTGAAAACCGCAAACTTGGTCAGGGCGGAACATGATAAGAGATTGCTGAAGCACAGGATTGCCAATAATCGAGTTTTCGTTTAATCGTTTTGAGTGAGTGAGCGACTGAGTAAGAGAATGGGATCTTAGACCGCTTTTACCACTACTGCATGTGACGGCGAGAGACACGTTGTCCCCACGTGGGGAATCGAAACAGGATCCCCGGCGTAATGGGCGAACACTTCGACTACTATGTTGGCACGGTGGCCTCTCACTTCCAAACAAGAACAGACTGAAGAAAAGTGTGAGATTAGGAGGAGAGAATACCCGATGTGAATGTGAGAACCCTGTGAGAATTCAGACGACCCATCTGACTCTCGTTATTCTGTTTTACTATCTGGACGAAGATATTCCATTCCGAAAGTTAAATCTAAACGATAAAATCTAAATCTCTTTTATTCCAGTTATCATATCACTTTGAAACAAATGTGAAATGTATTTTCAAGCCTCTATTACCCAATATCACTTGTTTCGTATACTTTGAAAACTTTATATGCTCTCAATCGTGTATGTTCCATGTTGTGTCTAGCCATGTGTCTTGTGTATGTGTATTCGTATTTGTATGTATTGTGGGACATTTATGACACCCTCATGTAAGAAGAAATCCCTGACGGGATGACACCAGATGTTCGCGAAAGGTGTAAGCTCGTTCCCTTGACATTACATCTCGTTCCCATGACATTGTATCTCGTTCCAATGATATTATGTATCGTTCCCAAGACATTGTATCTTGTTACCCTGTCATTGTATCTCGTTCCCACGACATTGTATCTCGTTCCCATGACATTGTATCTCCTTCCCTAGACATTGTGTTTTCTTCCCACGACATTGTATCTCGTTCCCATGACATTGTATCTCCTTCCCATAAAATTGTATCTCCTTCCCACGACATTGTATTTCCTTCCCACGACATTGTATCTCGTTACACTGACATTGTATCTCGTTCCCATGACATTGTATTTCCTTCCCACGACATTGTATCTCGTTACCCTGACATTGTATCTCCTTCCCATGACATTGTACCTCCTTCCCATGACATTGTATCTCCTTCCCATGACATTGTATCTCGTTACCCTGACATTGTATCTCGTTACCCTGACATTGTATCTTGTTCCCATGAAATTGTATCTCCTTCCCAAGACATTGTATTTCCTTCCCAAGACATTGTATTTCCTTCCCAAGACATTGTATCTCCTTCCCACAACATTGTATTTCCTTCCCAAGACATTGTATTTCCTTCCCAAGACATTGTATCTCCTTCCCATAACATTGTATTTCCTTCCCAAGACATTGTATCTCCTTCCCATAACATTGTATTTCCTTCCCAAGACATTGTATCTCCTTCCCATAACATTGTATTTCCTTCCCAAGACATTGTATTTCCTTCCCAAGACATTGTATCTCCTTCCCACAACATTGTATTTCCTTCCCAAGACATTGTATTTCCTTCCCAGACATTGTATCTCCTTCCCATAACATTGTATTTCCTTCCCAAGACATTGTATCTCCTTCCCATAACATTGTATTTCCTTCCCATGACATTGTATTTCCTTCCCATGGCATTGTATTTTCTTCCCACAACATTGTATTTCCTTCCCAAGACATTGTATCTCCTTCCCATAACATTGTATTTCCTTCCCACGACATTGTATCTCCTTCCCATAACATTGTATTTCCTTCCCAAGACATTGTATCTCCTTCCCATAACATTGTATTTCCTTCCCAAGAAATTGTATCTCCTTCCCATAACATTGTATTTCCTTCCCATGACATTGTATTTCCTTCCCATAACATTGTATCTCTTTCCCACAACATTGTATTTCCTTCCCAAGACATTGTATTTCCTTCCCATGACATTGTATTTCCTTCCCATGACATTGTATTTCCTTCCCACAACATTGTATTTCCTTCCCAAGACATTGTATTTCCTTCCCAAGACATTGTATCTCCTTCCCATAACATTGTATTTCCTTCCCAAGACATTGTATCTCCTTCCCATAACATTGTATTTCCTTCCCAAGACATTGTATCTCCTTCCCATAACATTGTATTTCCTTCCCATGACATTGTATTTCCTTCCCATGACATTGTATTTCCTTCCCACGACATTGTATTTCCTTCCCATGATATCGTATTTCCTTCCCATGACATTGTATCTCGTTACCCAGACATTGTATCTCGTTCCCATGACATTGTATCTTATTCCCGTGACATAATTGACATTGTATCTCGCTCACATGACATTCTATATAACATCATCTCATAACACAAGATACAAAGCACTTGTTCGGAGTGTTGTTTTCTCAAGGCTGGGCTAATAGCCTCTCGTTTAGCCTCAGCCAAGAACAGACCCACATACTGCAAACACTGCAGTCCATATCATATCTTTAACGCCCGAACATCAACATATCCCACCAGTTCTGAAAGCCTTACGTTGACTACCGTAAAGGCCAGGATAAAATAGAAATAATTCTCAATGTTTGCTCAATGCCGGACTGGAAATGTCCCCGACTACCTCTTGGAGCTCATCAACCCATACATTCCACCCAGAAGAGCATCAACACCCTCTTACAGCGCCTGTGAAGAAACTCAAGTCCTGAGGTCGCAGAACATTCTCCAATGCAGCAGCTACACTTGTGAATTGTCTCCTTGCCGACCTCAAGCAGCCTCCGTCTCTGGCCTCTTTCACGTGAGTCCTGACAGCCCCTCTCTCCAGACGTCGCCACATCTACCTCCATCTGTTCCTCCCCTCCAGCTCTGCTTCCATGGCTTGTGTCGCGCTGTGACCATGTACCCGTGTGTGGGTGTGGTGCAACAGACATGGTCATCAGTGATGCTATCGTTGATAACTTTCCTCTGTGGGACACACGCACCACTTACCACTACCCCTTTCACCAGACGAGCCCAAACAACCGTTTTCATTATTAGGTTCTTTTCACTTCATCTACAGATCATAACCTTAATAGATTTGTACGATGAGAAAAGGTTAAATAATTATAAATACACTGAATGAGATGTATACAGTTTTTATTATACCTTTTGAATATACATGTGCAGTTTGGGAGGAGTGTAGCCAATTACATTACAATTATTACAGAATAGGTATTCACAGGGAATAAACTCACATTACTTTTGTCATGTTAATTATATGCTCGCCAATGTAATAAATTGATAACAAGTTTGATAATGTTGTTATAATCAAATTTCCTTTTGATATCAAATTAATTTTGTGTGACATTTCAGAGATATCAGTAAGTAATAATGAGTGTATATTCAGTGTCAATACTTTGTCACAACTTTGTCACAACTTACACACGTCTTATTTGTATTATCACTACCCGCTTATCCGTCTGTCTGTTCACATCATTATTGAACGTTGTAAACATTATGGGGGGGGGGGGGGCGGTCGGGTAGCCTAGTGGTTAAAGCGTTCGCTCGTCACGCCGAAGACCCGGGTTCGATTCCCAACACCGGTACAATGTGTGAAGCCCATTTCTGGTGTCCCCCGCCGTGATATTGCTGGAATATTGCTAAAAGCGGCGTAAAACCAAACTCATTCACTCACTCACTGTAAACATTATGGAGAGAGTGTCCTACGTTGGGCACTTGTACCCAATCCGCTGTGAATGTTTAATGTTTAAAACACAGATTTCAAACAATTTGTTCCTGTATCCAGTCGTATTCTTGTATGGAAACAAAGTGATAACATATAAATACATGACACGTTTTCGTGAATGACAGCTTCTTCGTTCTTTGTATCCTTGTGTACTGGTTAAAATATGCCCCATGAAATACTACACTGTATAGTACACACGCTCACGGGGCGGCCAGGTATCAAATGTACCTGGATGATTATTATCTTAATTGCTTTCCAGGTACAATTACGTAAACCACCCCACCAAGGTGTTGGAACAGTGACGACGGCTAGAGCGACTGACATCTGCCCCGACGTGCGAAACACGTGACTTTGGCTTTTAAATACAGTGAATTGGTTCACCCCAACCAAACATCACAGTCGACGATGTTGTTGAGTCTAGCATTTGCTGTTGTTGCGTTTACCTGCCTGCTGCATGACACGTCGGCGATTGTGTGAGTAAAGTATATTTCTGTAATTTACTTTAAATAATGTCAACATTTTTCAGTGATTAAGTAAATGATACAAATAGTGAACGTGAATGTACATGTGTGTGTATATAGATTCAAACGTTGGTATAATTAATGGAAGTTTTAAATACTGTCAGGGACATTTTCGCGTTGAAAATATATGTCAGATATGCGATGTTGTGTTTTTGATGAATCTAATTTGCATGTATTACATGATTACATGGCATATTCAGTGTAGTCTATTTATTCTATTCTTACATTTGTAACGTTTGTCTATAGGAACATACCGCAAAAACTGACGCCTTTCTATAGTGAATGTGTTCACTTGATGATAAGAATATCTCAGCCATCCCTATTTCTTACACGCTATCCTCCCGTCTTTGTTCCAGCGTGTCCTACAGATGTGGTCGCAGAAATTCCTGGAGAAGGTGAGTCATTTCAATCCTTCCTGCTTTTTTTTCTCCCCGCGCATTACATTGTCTGTGACGACGGTTACCTCACGGCAAGGGAGGCAACCCAGACACACTTTCAGTGCACGCGTGATATGCACCAACAATGCCTTGTTTGTAGACTACTCTTGTTTATCTGTTAAACTCATTTCTGAACTATGACTATCCTATGGAATACTGTAAGGGACATTCTAGCGATCGCGCATTCTCGCGATCTCGACTTTTGGAATCGAGCTAAATATGCCCAAAATACGAGAATGCGAGATCGCAAGAACGCGAAATATGGCCGAAATCACGCGTTCTCTCGATCTCGCATTCTCATGTTTTCGGTACATAGCACTTTTTTGTCAAAAGTCGAGAATGCGACATTTGGGCTTGATGTAAAATCTCGCATTCTCGCAATCGCGACCTGTCAAATTAAGCCACAAAAACACGAAAACGCTAGAACGCGAGAATGTGACATCTCATTTTCTCGCGATCTCGCGTTCTCGCGTTTTAGGCGTCCGTGCACATACGTAATATCATAAGGTCAAGGCGCATGCGCACGTTAGTAGTCCTGTGGTCATGCTTCTCTCATGCTCTTCATTCTCCAAGTAGCATGTAGTAAACTTAAGACGAGCTTGAAAATGCTTTGTAAGTCCTATGTGGAGTGGAGTGGAGTGGAGTGGAGTGGAGTGGAGTGGAGTGGAGTGGAGTGGTGTGGAGTGGAGTGGAGTGGAGTGGAGTGGAGTGGAGTGGAGTGGAGTGGAGTGGAGTGGAGTGGAGTCCTCTTCCGTTGTTACAGTTTCCTATGAACTTTAAATTGAAACCCTCAACATCTCAATATAATATAAAAAAACAAATTCTCTGTCCAATGACAGTGAACACATTAAAGTGTCCGGAAGCTGGAAACAAAATATCACCGTCAGTGAATGAGTAAAGTTTGCCGGTATTGCAGCTATTCGTCAAAATAACCAGTCGATCAACAAAACGAGTGAATGTTAGAATGAATGTGCGATGAGCGATGAGTGAGTGAGTGGAGGTCTATGCCCATGTTGGTAACATTCCAGCAATATCCCGTCGTGGGTTACCAGGTGTGCGATGAGTGATGAGTGATGAGTGAGTGAGTGGAGGTCTATGCCCATGTTGGTAACATTCCAGCAATATCCCGTCGTGGGTTACCAGGTGTGCGATGAGTGATGAGTGATGAGTGATGAGTGAGTGAGTGGAGGTCTATGCCCATGTTGGTAACATTCCAGCAATATCCCGGCGTGGGTTACCAGGTGTGCGATTCACGTTCAGAACCAATATTGGGACTCAAACTTGGCCTTTCGACGTGGCGAGAGATCGCGTTTTACACCAGGCTACCCTACCGCTCACGGAGATGTGAGAATTATCGTTTTCATTGAGTGTAAATAAATGAGATTCCCCGCAGCCAAACCCAAGCAACATCACGGCTGGGGAAACAAGACATGTCGTTCTGGTTGCGTTCACCTTTTTCGCGAACACCTGGTGTCTTTATCATTTGATAGTGATTCATAAACACATTATACAGTCTGAATCGTACAATCGACTCTGCTTTAGAGGAGTTTTTTAGTGGTTATGAAAAGGTTTTTGTCGCGTTTATATACACAAAGAAAAAGTTAAGCACACCCCAATATATTTCATTATTGTTTGGTCCCAATATTTGTAACAGTCATGAAAGATATAATTACGGGAAGAATTATGTTTTCTCGAGATGATGCAATCAGTCATGCGTGACGAAAGCTCACGTGCTTCATGCTACCCTCGAGTATCTTTGAAAGCAGTATATCCAAACGTTACAATTGCTTTCTTAAGCTCGGTTTTAAACAGTTATTCCATGACATTGAGTGACCATGGCACGACGGCGATTATCAAACGCGACAAGATGGCAAATAATCGGCATGCATAACGCAGGAATGTCTTGTAATGCCATTGGTCGGAATTGGGGGTATCATCACAGTGTCGTAAGCCGTTTAGTCGAGAAACATGCTCAGACCGGTGATGTACAGGGCCGACCCAGATCCGGAAGACCTCCTGTGACGACACATCGAGAAGACAGGGGCCATCTTCGTCTCATACGCCGAGAACAATCTTTAACAAGTACTGGTCTGAAACAGCTGTGGTTGCCCAATCGTCGTTTCAGCACCAGAACCGTCAGGAACCGGCTGAAAGCAGCAGGACTGAGGGCTAGACGAGTCATAAAGCGTCCCTTGTTGAGAGATCCCCACAAAGCTGTTCGTTTTGCATGGTGTTTTGCTAGGCAGAACTGGAATCTGAGAACTTGGCGACGGATCCATTGGTCAGACGAAAGTCGCTTTCTGCTCCACGTCACTGATGGAAGAACGAGAGTTTGGAGGCACCGGATCACGGCCTACACCCCCAGGAACATTAAACCGACTGTTGCATACGGCGGGAGCTCGGTAATGGTTTGGGGGTGTATCTCTCATGATTGCAGGTTGTATTTGGTCACCAAAAGGGGCAACTTAAAAGGGGCTCAGTACATCCGGGACGTTTTGAGGCCAGTCGTCGTTCCTCATTTTGACAACCACCCTCTTGCCACTCGACCTCAGTACATGGATGACAATGCCAGGCCTCATCGTTCGCATGCAGTCGTGGATTACATGAGGGCCAATGCAGTAACGACTCTACCATGGCCAGCAATGAGACCAGATGTGTACCCCCTTGAAAATGTTTGGGATATTCTGGGGCGTATACAGGCACGAGATCCTCCTGTACAAGATGTACGCCAATTGGAAGCAGCATTGCATCAGGAGTGGTAGTTGTTGACCCATCAACAGATCCAACGTCTGACTGAAGGCATGCGACGTAGGGTGGAATGCGTCATCCGGGCACGTGGCGGTTACACCCGCTACTGATCTGTTTCACGTGTCTTATCAAGAAGAGACGTGAAGGAACATTTTCACATGAAACGCAACTCGCTTACTTAATCCTGCAGCTCCATACTTTTTTTAGGTATTGTCTTAGGTCAAAAACAGTACCTGTGTTACCATGATGTTTTTGTCAGTAAATTTCAATCACAACTCACCAATATCTTCTTTATTTGTTGTCAAATGTTTGTTCTATCCGATAACATTGGTATCGCCCAGCTCCTGTGGGCAGTCATCCCATGCCATGAATTTTTGCCATTTGTCATGGTTCAGAAATAGGGGTGTGCGTAACTTTTTCTTTGTGTATATTTTTTATTGAACTATTTGAACCATCATCTGAACCTGAAACTAATCATTTACCCTCAATGTCTATCAATCTGTTCATAGATTTACAAGCTGTGTTCCTTTGTAGATACTCCACCTGCTACAGGATCCAAGCACGTGGGTATATTAACAGAACATCACGTTTATCACTTTAATAATCAATGCATGTCATAAAATGTGGCGGGCACAAGTGGACACGTGGTCCAATGCTCCGCGATTGTCTGTGCATTGTCTCGTCCCTTTGCTGTGCCAGGATCTACTGATCGTAAGATCGACTCACAGATGTGCCTGATTCGTCTTACTGTGTTTTGCCCGCTGGCACGTGGAAAACGTTGTTGGTTGGCATAACGTCGGGACTTCCTCCCACATTAAGCTGATTTGGCCTGATATAATTTTTGTTTGTTTGTTGTTTAACGCCGCACTCAGCAATTTTCCATTTATATGACGGCGGTCTGTAAATAATCGAGTCTGGGCCAGACAATCCAGTGATTGATATCATGAGCATCGATCTACGCTATTGGGATACGATGACATGAATCAGCCAAATCAGCGAGCCTGACCACCCGATCTCGTCAGTCGCCTCTTACGACAAATATAGTCGCCTTTTATGACAAGCATGGGTTGCTGGAGACCTATTCTACCCCGGATCTTTATGGGTCGCTCTGATATAAATGTCATGGTGTTTAAAGTGATGTTAGGTCCATTCAACATCACTTCGGCTATTTACTCCACACATTGCTTCAATGTCAGGGTAGGTTAGGCTTCGCACAAAGCTCAAGTAAGGAGTAGGGCTTATTTGGCTTCCGTGAGTTATAAACATTCTGTTTCCATCAGCATACGTACAAGGGACACCCGTCATCGTGTCGCCTAGAAGCCGTATGTACTGACGAGGGATGGGGGACGCAGAGCATGCACCGCCTGTACTGTTAGATACTGACGTCGCGGTCAGGAATAGGTCAGCTGTATCACGACAGCCTGTAATTGATCAATCTGGACCACACACTCGAGTTATTGAAATCATGAGCATCGATTCATCGATCCACGCCATTGCGATACGATGACATGCATCAAACCAAGTCAGCGAGCCTGACCACCCGATCCCGTCAGTCGCCTCTTACGACAAGCATAGTCGCCTTTTACGGCAAGCATGGGTTGCTGGAGACCTATTCTACCCCGGATCTTCACGGGTCCCCACAGGAAAAGCATTGGTTCTAGGAACCGATACCGCCCCCTGAAATATCCAAGGGGAAGGGGGTGGGGAACAACATAAGTATGGACATATACTGATCTTACATTAAGACTGATATCTACATTGTATCAAATGCGTTGTTTTAGAAAATGGCGGCTGGTCCGGCTGGACGCCGTGGAGAGACATAGACGAATGCAGTGTCCTGTGCGGGGGCGGGACCAAGGACCAAGATCACACCAGGTCGTGTACCAACCCCAGACCCACCCACGGGGGAGCTTACTGTCCCGGGGTCTCCTACCAGAACAGGACCATCTCCTGCGGCACCGACCTCTGTGGAAGTAAGTACGGGGGATTCAGGCTTGAGGGATTGGTAGACTTAGTCTCGCAAGAAGATGTACGATCAGACAGAAGCGTTTCTCTGTAGGCCTTGTATGGTCTTAATATTCAGATATTTTGACAGAACAAAAAATTTGTATGTTTTGGACTCTGACAAACACATGTTATTCAGAATTTAATTACGTAGAATCGGCTTGAAATCTCAATTTACCGATGTAATGTTTTGTCCTTTGACCCCTAGTTCTATTGATTAATTGGTTTACCTAAAAAGGTTGGTGTCGAAATAAAAAACAGGCTTTTTTTAGATTTACCTCTTAACAGAAATGCCGGTGGGAGAGACGAAATATTTGATTTCATTTTGGTCAAATGTGAAATCGGAACATCCGTTCTCCAAGTAGTTGAGCATAGAACCTGGACAGGTATCAACCGCGTCGATCTAAACTTGCGTTTTGTCGAACTTCAAACGAGTAAGGTCTGCATCGGCTATGAAAAGTAATATTAAAAGCACAGCCATGTTTAATGCTTAATGCGATGTACCATTTTACGTTCGCTTCTATTACTTTCTGACCAATAAACTAAACCACAACCAAATCTGTACTAATATCCGGTCATAGGTGCGCATGCGTAGCCACCTTAATTACATTTGTAAATAAACATGGATGTATGTCCAAACCTCTTGATTTAGGCAACAACAATTATCACACATTTCTCTTCTGGTGTGAATTCTCGCGAGAGCAGTTTTACTCCACAAACAAATTTCTATATATCCGCGTTTTCCTTTCATTTCATACCGAGGTCCAATCAATGTTTAATGTAGTCCAATCGCAGCCTACGATACATCGGCCACCTCATGTCTACTTGTTTATATAGACGAGAGCCCAGTCAGAGAATACGTCAAACACACTCGGGTCCATTCGGATACTTCCGCCGCTTACCTAAAACCAATGTAGAAGCTGTATTGCATGATTTCATCCCTGTCACACCAGATCCCGCCGCATGTAGGTCGTATAACATGAAGACAGTTTAGGAACGCTACTACTGAAAACAGTCATATTTGGTTCCTGGCAGTTTGCCATGTGACTGTCACGTGCACGAGTTCCAATATGGAGTTCTCCAGGTGCTGCCGAGGACGTTTGTCATTGCGACAATTCGGGTCAACTCGGCTTATTCCGTCACTTGCCTCGGACGTAGTGTGACATTGCGTGACGTCAACAGATTCCTCCGCGGAAGGTTCATACACATACCGACTGATTTAGAGAAACTTTTTTTTACTCTGGGTAAATGAGTTAGGTACACGTTTTGATATTGCCAGAATGTGTTGTGTGGTGTGATAGTCACATGGAATAGTGAAACTAGTTCTTCCAGTGCTGGATTGAAGTGATAAGTCGGATTGCGTTGAGCCCGGACGCAACAATCTAAAGAAATAGTTCCACTTTTTAAAGAAGACTTCTCTCTAATCATTAATACCATTTCAAAGCAATTTTTATGATAATTAACCCCTTTCTTACTTCCAGGCAGGTGCCCCAAAGGAAAGAACACTTTTATCACCCACGCTACAAATCCTGCACGTTACTACCACTGCAGTAACAGCGTAGCATTCTTACACGATTGCGCACCAGGAACATGGTTTGACATTGCACGACCCGGATGTATCCAGTTGGCGACAACTCCCGACAGCGCATGTGCAGGGAAAGGTTTCCGGGTGTTCGCGCATGGCTCCGACTGCCGGAAGTACTACGCGTGCTCTCATGGCACTAGGATAGAGAGAACCTGTCCGAAGAAAACCAAGTTCGACAGCACACTCGAAAGATGCGTCCATGGAAATTGTTAATACCAGAGACCATCTTTAAGTTTCAAATAAAATCTGCATTCCTTTATTTGTTCTTGTCAACATGATTCTTCGTTTGTTAGGGGCGGTCGGGTAGCCTAGTGGTTAAAGCGTTCGCTCGCCACGCCGAAGACGCGGGTTCGATTCCCGACATGGGTACATGGGAATATTGCTAAAAGCGGCGTAAAACCATTCTCATTCACTTACGCACTCTTTGTTTGTTAAATTCTCTCTCTCTCGATCGAGAGGGAGAGGGAGAGGGAGGGAGAGAGAGAGAGAGTATTACCCAAGTATAATCCAAGAAGAACCTTGGCTGACCAATAATTGTACTCGTTCAATCAATGACGTCATACTTCGGGTGACCTAAGATGCCCATATCTACCTCGGGGTGTGGTACTCTGTGTAGCAGCCTGAACGTGACGTCATGGTTAAAAACAATTGGTTTTAGTTATTGATTCCGTGATAAATATAGGCCTTTTACTAAATATGGTTAACTATGTATTGGTAGTATATATCTATTCTGATGTGCAGCATGGATATAAAGCTTTCGATTGTAGGTGCAAATACTTTTGAATCAATACTACAACTTTGATGATAATTTTGCATGTCTGTGGTCTAGTGGTACAGCGTCTGTCCGGATAGCCGAAGATTGGGGGTTCGATCCCCGTCATACCAAAATACGTTACAGGTTGGTACTTTTTGTTACCATGCCTGGCGCTCGGCATTTAGGGCCTGAAACAAGGACTGGTCGGCTCGGGATCAGTATACTGTGTCTGTGTGGGGTATTCATGTTAAACTGTGGGCTAGCACTATAGAATCGGCACACACACACCACACACACACACACACACCACACACACGTTCATGCACGTCTCTGTGTGAGTGAAACAATCTTGAACACAACGTTAAACCCCATTTCACCTCAACTAAACGTTATTTAGAACTTTCCTGTCGTTGTACATGCATTAAATTAATGCATTAGGTACAATGGCAGCTTGGTCGCGCAGTGAAACACTTGTTCACCTCTCACAGTTGTGTGATAGCAATAAACATGGCCGTTTTTTCTCCTCGTTGCAGCCATTTTGTTTTACATCTATGTGTGCGTTTTATTTCGGGTATCGCACGAAGTTATCCTTGATCAACACTGGTTACCTCAGGCTGGAACTAGTTAAACATGGTTGCCAGCAACGTTGTCTCTCAAATTGTTTTGACGTCAGCACATCGCAAATACATTCTGACGTCAGCACATGAACGAAACACCTGACCTCAGCACATCACAGAAACACCTGACGTCAGCACATCATAGAAACACCTGACCTCAGCACTTCACACAAATCCCTGACGTCAGCACATAAACGCAACACCTGACCTCAGCACTTCACACAAACACTTGACGTCAGCACATTACAGAAACACTTGACGTCAGCACATACACATCTAGATGAAGATCACAACCTAACAGCGAGGTCGTCTGGATTTACAAAACAATAATGGTTGATGTGCATCAGCACACAATGTAACACTAACTTGTACATTTTTTATTGCTTAGGATCTCTCCAAGTATTAGAGCGGAATCGACCAGACCGTTAAAGATTACAGTGGAATGGATTACACACTGTTTTCACATTGTCTGTGACTTTCATCATGTACGTATATATACCGTATTGAATGGTATATTGAGCTAGTTCTATTTATATCGTTATTTGCGGCGGCAAACAACAAACTAACAAACAAATATATCGGTATTTCTATTTTAAATTAGTTGAATAACAATACCAAGAACATCACTAATATTGCTTTGAGAATATTTGACAGCTTCTCATTGTATCCTGAACAACAAAAGTTCCTGTGACATTGAATAAGATTTAATGCAAAGATATGTTTTTTACCAAATGCGTGTTTTCATAAATATTACTAGAAGACCAACCTGTAGGTCCCGTGACCAAATCATGGAAACAAAGGTTTGAAAGTGATTTTGAGTTTCCTGATGTATACTGAACAATTTTGACTTGGGCTGCCCGGTTGAAAATCCCGGGCATTTTGGGGAAGGGGCAACAAAGGTCAAACTGGGGTCAAAATTCAAATGCATGCTTGACTGTAGCAGTTGCGTTTTCGCGACTTGATTCCATATATGTACTACAATATTGAAAACCAAACTTTACTTGTTTGAAAAGTACACTAAAATATTGGTGTCACAGGAACTTTTGTTGTTGAGTATATATTCCGTATGTATACCAGAGAAAGATACGCTTCTGATTTAAAATTTTAATTTGGCAAGATTTTTTACAGGAAAGACAGAAGCAGTTTGCCAAAACACGGGCGAATTTCACGTGCGAATGTTGCGCTGTTGAGTTTACAATGCGACCCCCTTCTAGCAGCAGTCATTAAACCACCAACAATTACATGAGAGTATGTTTAACAACTGTGTCTATCGTTCATGACAATGTCTGAAATTATGGTGACGAGTTGGTATCGACAAATGAATAACTTTCATTTAATTGCATTTCATCGGTACGAGTTTGCAGCAAACAAACCATAGTTTGGAAAATCCGTTCTTATAAACCTGCAGTGACGTCATCCTTTTGTCATTTGATGCGTTGACATCTTCACAAAACCTCATGTGACGTCATCCTAATGTTTTACGGGGATCTTGTTTCACAGTTTTGATATGAGAACAATCGACACAACACATTACAATTCTAACCTCAGGAAATGTGCAGAATGATTTAAAATCAAACAACAAATATTACTTATATTTCAGTGAGATCGAACCTCTAACTCCTATCTGTAGCCATAAGGCTGAAGGGGGCTAATAATCCACTAGGCTAAGCAAGAGATATTTTACGTCTGTTTGCTAAGGTTCACGGATAAAATTCATAAATGTCGTTTCAATTTATTTTACCCGGGTTTGTTTGTAAACACTCGGGGTCGTTGATGAAAACGTGCTCAGTCTCGCTGACTTGGTTGGTGCATGTCATTGCATGCCAGTTGTGTGGATCGATGCTCATGCCATCATAACTGGATTGTCTGGTCCAGACTCGATTATTTACAGACCAACGTCAAAAATAGCTGGAATATAGCTGACAAACAAACACACAAAAGACAAAGCCTCACCGTTATTCCCTGGCCTCTCGGTAAAGTTCGAAAGCGTCAGCAATATTCAATAGTTCAACGGTTAAAGCAGTTTAATGATGACAATGATACGTTTCGATGTACAAATATTTTATTGTAAATACAACAACGATAGAAAGGTGAAAACAATTGGAATATAAACTCACTCAACATTCAAAACTCCCCGAACAACAAAGAAGTACAAGCAAGACCATATATGGAATATTGATGACCATATATGGAATATTGATGACCATATATGGAATATTGATGACCATCTGGAGTCCGAGAACGTTGAGGCGATGACACAGCTCAGTGATCCATCCATGGCTGATATTCTCAACCTGCAGGCATACAGTGGGACCATTCACACTTGCAGGTCCGGATGGGCGCCAGTCCACTGTCATGAGATTGTGGTAACGTGTTGTTTATTTGTCCAAATGGAAAGACATCATTGGTGGAATGAGAACTTCGTCGATGACGTGGATGACACCGTTGGTGATGCTGACATCGGCAGCGATGACGTTAGCGGTGCCGGACCCGGTGTCTATGCTCACACCGCCTGCCGAGGAAAGCCAGATTTTGATTGTATGATTACAACTAGCCCATCCAGCCTGACTGGGTGTACGATACATAAAGCTTACAACTAGTCAAGCCTATCCAGCCTGACTGGGTGTACGATACACAAAGCTTACAACTAGTTAAGCCCATCCAGCCTGACTGGGTGTACGATACACAAAGCTTACAACTAGTCAAGCCCATCCAGCCTGACTGATGTACGATACACAAAGCTTAAAACTAGTCAGGCCCATCCAGCCTTGCTGGGTGTATACACAAAGCTAACTTAAAGATAGGAGTGAGTGAGTTTTGTTTAACGCCGATATTATATAATCGGGGGAGGGGGGGGGGGGGGCGATGTTGGTGGGGGAATCGAGGTTCAAACCCACAATATGGTGTGCGCAAGGGACGCAACTCTGCACACTAACAGATAGGAGAACACACATGCATGACATCACACCTTCAGCGAAGTAACATATTGCGACTTCTCAACACTAGGGGGAGACGGACATGAGGTGCTGGGGACCTATTCTTCCCTGAATCCCCACAGGGAGACAAGCATGAGGTACTGGGGACCTATTCTTCCCTGAATCCCCACAGGGAGACAAGCATGAGGTACTGGGGACCTGTTCTTCCCTGAATCCCCACAGGGTGACATGCATGAGGTACTGGGGACCTGTTCTTCCCTGAATCCCCACAGGGAGACAAGTATGGGTACTGGGGACCTATTCTTCCCTGAATCCCCACAGGGAGACAAGCATGAGGTACTGGGGACCTATTCTTCCCTAAATCCCCACAGGGAGACAAGCATGGGTACTGGGGACCTATTCTTCCCTAAATCCCCACAGGGAGACAAGCATGAGGTACTGGGGACCTATTCTTCCCTGAATCGCATTCATCACTCACCACTGGACACCATGACGGTGAAGTCCTGTTTGTTGAGGGTCGTCACCTTCATATTGTTGGTCAGTCCAGCGCTGTAGAATGTGCCGCTCACGACGTGGTATTCAAGCACACCTGGAATTTACATAGTGCTCATCAATTAATTTCACAAGACAAGGGATGGTATCACATGTCCCGTGGCATTTTCACAAGTGGTGTATGAAACCTGGGAGAGGTCATCTGGTTGTAGAAATACCAAGCAGGCAGGACCGAAAGGAGGAAGAGTATGTTTCATACCAAAGTAAAACAATTAATACACAATGTGAATTATATGTTTCTTGTTTATCGCCGCACTCAACAATATTCCAGCTATATGACAGCTGTCTGTAAATAATCGAGTCCGGACCAGACAACCAAGTGATTGACATCATGAGCATGAATCTACACAATTATGAAACGATGATATGCATCAACCAAGTCATCGAGGCAGACCACCCGATTCCGTGAGTCGCCTTACGATAACTTGGGAGTAAATACTCAATGGCTAAAACAAATACCTGAATCACCGAAGTAAGCTAGTGGATTTGTAGTATACGACAGCAATATAACAGCAAGGGAAGCAATATTTGTACCAATATGGGGGATTCGAACGGGGAATTACGGCACGGTGAGCGAACATGTGAACCACTACACTAGAACACCGAGTGTTTTCTAAAGGGTTCGGCTTGGCATACATCTGATGGATGAAGGCCGTGTTACTTACTGGTGAGTTTAGTGAGGTTCTTGTTACTTACTGGTGAGTTTAGTGAGGTTCTTGTTACTTACTGGTGAGTTTAGTGAGGTTCTTGTTACTTACTGGTGACTTTAGTGAGGTTCTTGTTACTTACTGGTGAGTTTAGTGAGGTTCTTGTTACTTACTGGTGAGTTTAGTGAGGTTCTTGTTACTTACTGGTGAGTTTAGTGAGGTTCTAGTACTTACTGGTGAGTTTAGTGAGGTTCTTCAGGAGGTTGTCCAGGGTGCCGGGAGGCAGTTTAGAGAAGGCCGCGTCAGTCGGGGCGAACACGGTGAAGGGGCCATCACCTACAACATATGTAGGTCAGGAGTGAGGGAGGTTTGCTAAAAGCAGAGAGCAATATTCAAGCAACAATTCATACGATCCATGAGCAACGATTCCTGGTCCGATGACATGCAATCTGCTAAGTCAAAGAGTCCGACCACCCGACCCACCCGACCCATCGACCCACCCGACCCATCGACAACCCGACCCATCCGACCCATCGACCACCCGCCAGCAGCAGAGTGCCAGGAATCTGATTCCTGCACGGTACCCCCTGGTTCCCGTGATGCTATATGAACACGAGTGTGGAGGCTGACATGGGATGCTTACATGTTGGTCTTCGGTTCCGTAACTGTGTTTGTTTGTTGTTTAACGCCGCACCCAGCAATAGTCCAGCTATATGACGGCGGTATGTAAATAATTCAATCTCGACCAGACAATCCAGTGATTGGCACCATGAGCATCGATCCACGCAATTGGAATACGATGATATGGATCAACCAAGTCAGTGAGCTTGACCACCCGATCCCGTGAGTCACCTCTTACGACAAGCATGAGTTGAACACCTATTCTCACCTGGATCTTCACGGGTCGTTTCCGTAACGACTGTCGTTATTAACAATGACCATTTTCAACATCTATACATTTACTTAAACAAACAAGAAGGATTCTGAACTTAGGAAATAGATTTCTTAACGGAGAAACATACAACGCAGCTAACTGAGCATAGCAGCATTCTCAACTGACAATGATTTCATTTGTAACATATCAGTGAGTTGGGTTTTACGCCGCTTTGAGCAATATTCCAGCAATATCACGGCGGGGGACACCAGAAATGTGCATCACACATTGTACCCATGTAGGGAATCGAACCCGGGTCTTCGGCGTGACGAGCGAACGCTTTAACCACTAGGCTACCCGACCGCCCTGTAACATATCAAAACGTAGCTGAAATAAAAAAAAGCGAGAAAATAAGGATTGGATAAGGTTATCTTTTATATGTACCCCTGACATATCTCTTATACAAAGACTGAATGATCCCAGCTACGAGCAATAACAAGGGCAGTCGAGTGAGTGAGTGAGTGAGTATGGTTTTACGCCGCTTTTAGCAATATTCCAGCAATATCACGGCGGGGGACACCAGAAATGTGCATCACACATTGTACCCATGTCGGGAATCGAACCCGGGTCTTCGGCGTGACGAGCGAACGCTTTAACCACTAGGCTACCCGACCGCCCCCAAGGGCAGTCGAAGTAAACAACATGGAACAGACATGGACTCCTTGGTCGGGTGTGACTGTTGTAAATAAGTGAATTCACAAGTCTGTTTCCCATGCGACACCTACCGGCCAAAACCTGGAGGAGCTTGGCTGCAATGACGGCAGTTTTCAGTGTGTTGAAGCCGGGGACATTAGAAACCACGTCAACGACAGTTCCTGCTGGCGGCAGCATGACGCGACTCAAGCCGTGGATAACGCCGTTGGTGGCGTTCTGGTTCACGAGGACGATGGGGGAGCCCTGTGCCGTCACTACCTGGGGAGGAAATCATTAGTGACGTCACATAGATCACCTGGAACCTTATTTATCCGGACGCCGTAAGTCCATCTAATTTTGTGATTGGTCTGTTGTTTTACGCCGCACTCAGCAATATTCCAGATATGTGGCGGCGGTCTGTTAATAATCGAGTTGGGACCAGACAATCCAGTGATTGAAATCATGAGCATCTATCTGCACATTCGGGATAAGATGACATGCGCGTTAACCAAGTCAGCGAGCTGGACCACCCGATCCAGTTAGTCGCCTATTAGGACAAGCATGGATTGCTGAAGACCAATTCTATCACGTGCAATGGACAGTTAGACAGGCGTTTCGTATGTTTAAATTCCGTGACTACTTTGAATGTATACAGGTTCAGGCCTGGGATAACCAGAGTGAGTGAGTGAGTTGGGTTTAACGCTGCTTTTAACAGTATTACAATTATATCACGACGTGTCGGCTTAATGTGGGAGGAAAGCTCGAAGTGATGCAGGTCTCAGACTTTTACCACTTTGATGAAACTCGTGAGCTCGGGTATGGTGCTGACAAACCTAGAAACATAATCGGGACGAACCGGGATTCGAACCCACAATCATAGGTTTCTGGCGTGCCTAAGGGACGCAACTCTGCACAGGGAATTGCGGCGCCTTAGACGAGTGGGCCACCCGTGCACCCCTAATCAGAATGAATAGGTCCCCTTGCAGTATGACATCCTTGTAAAGGTCTTCTCGTGTGGATCGGGGGGACAGAGTGTCTTAAACCCCGATGACATGCGCCCTTGGTCATGTTGTTAGTGGCTGGCGTGCCCGGACAGGGAAAACTTAACGCCCTGTGCCACAGCTGGTGTAAACAACCGAGTGCAGCGTTAAACAACATTTACTCGCACAGGAGTGAGTGAGTATGGTTTTACGCCGCTTTCAGCAATATTTCAGCAATATCACGGCGGAGTACTCCAGAAATGGGCTTCACCCATTGTACCCATGTAGGAAATCGAACCCCGGTCTTCGGCGTGACGAGCGAACACTTTAAGGTTAATTCATCTGGGAAATATGGTCAGTCATAAGCCTTTTCAAAATTAACTGTGAAGGCATTCCAAAAGACGTTACTACATTTGGGGGGAGAGGGCAAATTTCAAGATTCTTGTAATGACCGCGCCCACACCGGTGGCAGCAATGATACCGAGAGTTTCAGATCAAAGCAGTTAGGGGACACAACTCTGTAGAACAGGTGGCAGCAATGAGCTTGAAAGTTTCTGACATTAACTACTGTTAAAAGGGAGGTGAGATTCCCTATTCTACAAGTACTCCGACGTTGACGTTGACGCTGACAACGCTTACCTTTCCGCCCTGGTAGATGTTGATCCTGATAGGGAGGCTGTCGGCGAGGGACTTGGCCAGAAGCTCATTGGACAGCTGGGTGGAGTAGACCTCTCCAGACAACACGTGGTACAGCAGGACTCCCTTGAGGATGGTCACGTTCTTCAGGAGGTCTTTGATTTGCGGGGCGAGAGCGGCAAAGGCGTCATCTGTCGGCCCGAACACGGTGAAGGGGGCGGGGGGAGCTTAAAGAAATTGAAATTACAGTTATTATCCGGAAGTCCCCGTGTATACCGCTCATCTTTCGATACGGATAAACGGCATGTTCCACTTCAGGTGAGGTGAGGTGAAATTGGGTTTAACGTCGCGTCCAAGATTATTGCACTTATATAGCGACGTGCATGCACGTGTATGTGTGTGTGTGTGTGTCTGCTTGTACTAGTCCGGACTGATGCCGATTTATAGTGCTAGCACACTGAGATACCATGCCGCAGTTTAACATGAATACCCCACTCAGACACAGTATACTGACTCCGAGCCGACCAGTCCTTGTTTTAGCCCCTTAATGCCGAGCGCCAGACGGGGTAACAACAAATACCATCTTTTAACGTCTTTTGGTATACGTGTATTCGTTATACCGTGTATTCGTTATACCGTGTATATATCGTTATACTTGTGCCGACAGAAAGTTATCGTAAAACTCCTTTGTCTCGAACAACAAAATTCGATAAACCGTGTAAGACGATGTCACTTGTGCCGACAGAAACTAATAGTATAAACTCCTTTGTCTCGAACAACAAAATTCGATAAACCGTGTAAGACGATGTCACTTGTGCCGACAGAAACTAATAGTATAAACTCCTTTGTCTCGAACTCCACTAACTAGTTAAACCGTTCAGACGAAGTCCCTATGGTGCCGACAGAATCGAACAGAAAAACTTCCTTGTCTCGAAATACGGGATATGTAAGTGTGATGGTCCCGGGCCTTGACATAATGTGGTTTTGTCATCACAAGGGCGTGGGGCTTTTTACATACGTATTTGATTAATTTGTGGCTTTGGGAGACATTTTATGAGAGCTTCACCAACACTTCGGTTGAAGTCCGTCCTGTTTCGGCCGTGGCGAACTAACGCCAAGCTGTCCCACACGGGCTTGTGTGTACATTATATAACTACACTCTTCCTCAGAAAAAATATGACCGGTGAAGATTCCGGGTTAGATTAGGTCTTCAGCAACCCATACTTGTCGTAAAGGCGACTAACGGGATCGTGTGGTCAGGCTCGCTGACTTGGTTGATGCATGTCATCGATCCCAATCGCGTGGATCGATGCTCATGATGTCAATCACTGGATTGTCTGGTTCAGACTCGATTATTTTACAGACCGCCGTCATATAGCTGGAACATTGCTGAGTGCGGCGTTAAACAACAAACAAACAAAACAAAACAAACAGAAAAAAATATCAGCAATAAGACAGTGGTGCAGGACTCACTGACGCTCAACATTGTATGACAGGTGAATAGATCATTTTTTCTGTCGCTCTATTCTAATTGTATAAAGCCGCCGCAATATCACTTTTTTTTAAATTTATATTTCTAGACTTTCAAGACATACAATTTATTTCTCTGAAGAAGTCAAACCATTTCTGGGGATTTTCAGCATGACCAGTGAACATTTTTTCTTTTTTTTTCTGTAAAACCTGAACACAAACGAGTTTCCCGTGAACTGATGGTTTTAGTAAAATAGATGCAGGAGGAAGCGTATGGCCGTAATTTCGATTATTAATTTTTAGGTTGAATTGTTTGTCAGGGTTAATTATATCACGGAACAAACCGCTTCCAATTCTTTCAACAAATGGCAACTGTAGCATGTTTTACAAGTTAAAGCCGAGGCGGGAACCCACAGTGAACCGTAAATATTTAACGACTACAGCCTTTGTGGCAGTCAGGGTTCAAGGTCGACCAATTATACGAACCACTGAATGAGCGTTGTCACAATAATTTCCCACAACCCGACTGAACTGCCGAGTCCGTCAGATATCGGCAGACTTTCTTCCCATTATATTTATTCTATCAAACATATCGTAAACGTCTTCAGCACAATGAAATAAACCTTTATCGGATCGACATAAGTAGACTATTTCTGACAACCGCCACTGTCTGCAGGTTTCAGCTGGGTGTGCAAGCCAAACACGTGTCACGTCCACGTGACGTCTATACGAGGTGTTGTATAAAATCTTATAAGGGCCCAGGAAGCTTATACAATGTGTACGACATGGGGCAATGGGTGCATCTACCTCAATATTTCAAGGATTGTTAATGTATAATTTTATCAATGTCATCCCATCCCAAACTTTAGCACACAATCGAAGTGATAGTTTATCACAAGCGTGCTAAGACTTGGGCTAGCTCTTTCACAAAACAAAATAACTTTTCTTCTCTTTTGTTTTGTTTATGCAACCCAAGTTACCATTACATTTCTCTAAAGCATAATTACGCGATGATGCAAAACCGTCAAACGTAGTTCGCTACCCTCTCGTGGGAATAGAATCGTCCGACCAAGGTGCGGTGCAATGCTTGGGTCCTCACAAATAATAACGACCCCTCGAAACAATGGACGCGCTCGAGTGCTATAATGTTACGTTACCTTGAATATCTGTTTATCACGTGCATTGCCTGACGATAAACGTGTAAGGGCGGATTCAGCATTTTAAAAGGAATGGGTCCAAAATATCAAAATCCACTCACAGATAATTTAGTTACATAATACATTTGTGAGGTGAGGTGGAATGGGGTTTAACGTCGCGTCCAAGATGAAAAGTAAAAATATTGTAAGTGTCGAATATTTAATATATCAGACAGATATCCACGCATCCAACATCGATCCACGCAATTTGGATAATGACATGCATCAACCAAGTCAGCGGGCCTGACCACCATGAGTGTGTGTGTGTGTGTGTGTCTACTACTCAGACACAGTATTCAGACTCCGAGCTGACCTCTGAGTCCGATCCTTGTTTTTGACATGCGCCAGGGTAACAACAAGTACCATCTTTTAACGTGTTTTGGAATGACGTGACCGGGGATATAACCCCCGACGGTCTACCACCAGACCACGGAGGCGGTCGATACTCCTGTGGAAAACTGGGTGTGTTCATGAACAAACAAGCTCTCCAAAACAGACCATAAAACATACTAGCTTGAGCTAGTCTACAATCTAGATTTCTTGAGTTACTGAAAAATGAAGAGATTCTCCAGGTCTCTTCCTATTATTCAAAGTCAATCTGACACACAAAAATCTCAAACATATTATCATTCCAGACACTAGATGTTAGTCGACGAGAAACATTATACGCTTGCAAGTGCTAAAGTGCTAAAAATCACATCGTGAACATACTTGAAAAATAAATTTAAACAACATGTCCACTGTCCATGGTGACCATGACAAGACCATGTACACTGTGTCCACAAAGGCCAAGGACAGATGCACTCACCTGTACTCGACAGTGTGTCCGCCAGACCCGCCCGCGTGACGAGCTCAACCAGCGTCTTCTCTCCCAAAGTCTCGGCGAGCTGGGGAATGTTTTCACCGTCGGTCAAGCCACCACCTAAATGCATCTGCATCCAGATGCCTTCACGCGTGAGTGCTGCGCATGTGCATGCAAGTGCAGCGAGGACGCAGATGACAGATTTCATTTCGGGTGCTTGAATCGCGTGCTTCCTCCTTCGTTGAGAACCTCGAACTGCCCGGGGAAGACTGCGAGACTATTTATAGCATTTTTGCGTTTATGTAAGTGATCACATGATCAAAGTCTCGTGACTGCGTATTGAAGCGTGACCTGAAAACGTTGACCCGGGTGGGGGAATCCGAGACTTTTCCAGCTCACGCGGGAGCCCGCAAACACACTTTATATAACAAACAGGCTGTTATGTAAAATTAGCGTAATGGGCTCCTGGCCCCAGAAAATCATTGTGATCAATTCTCGATTCCTTGGCAGGAAGGTTCATCTGGTAAAGTCACAGACAAATGGCGTATCACTAAAATAATGATTAATGTTTAAGATTAAGTTTAGCTTTACTTGGACCCTGTGTAAACATATTGCTGCTTAAGCCACAACGATATAACTGATATTCTGTACGAACAAACCCGCAGGCCTCGTTGTTGGCTGGTATAGAAGATTAGTCATATATATATAAAATATGGTCCGGTGTAAAAACAAATGGCATCCATCAGATGAATAAGATCATAAAGCATTTCATACGACTTATTTTGAATAAAAAAAAAAATTCTATTTCCGTTTCTTTTCAGTATAATTTGTTATTGTTTATGGAATCACCTGAAGTCGTTTTAAGTGTTAAATGCCTGCAACTGCTTTTTTGTCGTTTTCAGTAAAACAGATTTCGCACCTTAATGAGTTATGCACAGTGCCCCATGGCATTCATTCACCTGATGGAGGAGTAAGCATACATTCCGAAACGTTGTGTTCCTCATAATAAAGAAGTTGACATCGATAAATTCTCTTCCTTATGTGCCAGCTTTTTTAATTAACTCGTTATACTTAAGATCTCGATGACGTTTATTTTCAGTCACTTTGACACAATGACGAGTAGTGATCTTATGTCTCGACCTGAACTCTGTGTCCCGTGAAGAGTTGAAAACCTGTAACTCCTAGTCCACATTCAGGATTTGATTATTTACAGACCGCCGTCATATAGCTGAAGTATTGCTGGGTGCGGCGTGAAATAACAAACAAACAAACAAACAAACAAACAAACAAACGTGCACACGTCCTCAGTAGTGATCGCCTTTAGTGTTGAGTTGCCGGATTAACAAGAGTCCGGACTGACGAGATGAAAAAAGAACAAGAGTCATCTTATATTGACAACCGACATGTGTACTCAGTGAGTGAGTGAGTGTGTTGGGTTTAAGGCCGCTTTTAACAGTATTACAGGTAAATCGCGGCGTGTCAGCTTAATGTGGGAGGAAAGCCCAAAGTGATGCAGGTCTCAGACGTTTACCACTTCAGTGAAACCCATAAGCACGGGCATGGTACTGACAAACCTAGAAACATAATCGGGGCGAACCGAGATTCGAACCCACAATTATAGGTTTCTGGTCTGCCAAGGGGACGCAACTCTGCACAGCGATTCGCGGCGCCTCAGACGACTGGGCCACCCGTGCCCCCAACGTGTACTCAGAATGACATCTGAACGTGTTACGTCTAAGGTACGGTTACCGCACGGTTATCGTCAGATTATCTAGAGAGAGAGTGAGTGAGTGAGTGAGTTGGGTTTAACACCGCTTTGAACTTTAACATCTGTATCATGTCAGCATGATGTGAAGCCGGGTGTGACGCACGTCGTTGACGTTTATCATGGGTAATTTCTTGGCTAAGCAAGGATCATCATCTAGTGCATTCTGTGGATATTGGAACCAGGGACGCGGCGAGTTAAAGATCAACTTTTAAAGAAATATATATTTAATATGTACTAAACCGACACCCGAGTTCGCGAAGTATCCTCAACCAAAATATATAAAGAGACTCTAAGTTTGACGGAACTCGACCTGCACAACACAATTAGAACTACATGTTATACAAACTGCTTGACCCGCAACACGGTCATTGTGTAGGGGGCGGGACCCCGACGTCCCAGCGAGTCGACAGTTTGCGACATCTGATCTGGGCTCACCTTTGGTTTGGTAGTTAAATTGGTCAGCTTAAAAGTCTAAACTTCATTGAAGACGGAGCATAAGGTCAAACCTACCTCATTGTTTCATAACATGCTGTTAGAGTGCATCGCCAGTCACTGCCTCATTTCGTGTCTCTTTCAAACAGTAATTTGTGGAACAGGGACTACTATATGATTGAATTCAGATTAGGTTCATCCTCTTTTATACGGTGTATTATATCTCCAGTGTAATTAGATACATACCCTGAGAACATTCGCTCTCGTAGATAACAATACCACGACGTTAAACAGTATGTTCAATTAAATTACCTTCATGTTCGAGACAAAGGCTTTGCTAAGACAGAGAGAGGAGATATGGTGACGTCACTTCCGAAACAAGCAGTGCAGAGAATGGGCCCAGGGTGTTAATTACATTAGAAGTAATAGCCTTGATTGTCGGGGATGGTTTAAGTTGGAATAACCGCCATTTTACAGTTAGCGTTTTAAATTTGATCATATGATCATTACAATATAGTTATTGCTAGTTATCAATACATTCATGCGGACGGAATTGTTTCCTTTTTGTGGGTATATATGAAGGGTATGATCAAACTGAAAAATTGGTCCGATAAATGGAAAACTATAACATGGTCCCGATGTACAGGACACACTTCAGTACTGTGGCGTCAGTACAAAATGTCCCACAACATCCTACTCACTAACAACTGGTTGAAAGTAATGGGCTGTGTAAATTAGAATGAGAAATTATACAAGAAATGTAGAAACATTCGTCCACTTTGTACATGCACGGAAAGTTGGCTTCTTGAGAAAACAGAATTGAAAATCGTTCTCAACAAGGAGAATATGCTTTTTGATTTCCCAGATAGAAATAATTACCCTTTAAATATAAAAAAATAATGATGAAAAGACTATTTTCTGAAAATAAACAGCAAATACTGCCAACTTTCCAACATATTCAACTTAAACTGTCAGAATATTATAATATAACAAAATTTACAGCCGGCTTAACCGAAAATACTGAAAAGGTTTATAAGTTCTGGTTAACATGTCATATGCTTTTCATATACTTGTTAGAATGATCTATTTGCAATAAAAATGAAAAGACAAAAAAACAAGAACAGCCTAAACATGCTGGAGTCGAACCTGGTCGACTGCGTGATGAACAAACGCACCCACTGTCATCCCGGTGTCTGTCGTCCCTCCCAGACGGTGAAGCGCTGGTAACGCATTATACGTTCAATACTTCTATTGAAATACAAACAAGAGAAAATCGGTCTGCATGAGTTTATTCAGCCCACAGAATAGTTGCAGTGTGGTTATGTCAAGGTTGCTAGGCTCCCTGGATGAGTTTCTGGGCGGCAGTAATGGCGTCCACCGTCTCCTGGGCCGCATGGAGTGTCTCCTCCGCCTCCATCTTGGCCGACAGGATGTACGCCGACAGGAGCGTTGTGTCCACCGCCTTGGAGCCGTGACCTGACAGGAAGAAGGATGCACTTTGTACAGCTCGCCAACATTCGAGCATGCATTCATTCCTGGGTCTTAAGAGGCTTTACTGGGACAAGGGTGTAAATGGGTCGAGGGTGTATGTGGGTAGAGGGTGTATGTAGAGAGGGTATGTGGATAGAGGGTGTATGTTGGTAGAGGGTGTATGTGTGTAGAGGGTGTATGTGGGTAGAGAGTGTATGTAGAGGGTGTATGTGGGTAGAGAGTGTATGTAGAGGGTGTATGTGGGTAGAGAGTGTATGTATGTAGAGGGTGTATGTGGGTAGAGGGTGTATGTGCATAGAGAGGGTATGTGGGTAGAGGGTGTATGTGGGTAGAGGTGTATGTGGGTAGAGGGTGTATGTGGGTAGAGGGTGTATGTGCGTAGAGAGGGTATGTTGGTAGAGGGTGTATGTGGGTAGAGGGTGTATGTGGGTAGAGACTGTATGTAGAGGGTGTATGTTTGGTAGAGGGTGTATGTGGGTAGAGAGTGTATGTGGGTAGAGAGTGTATGTAGAGGGTGTATGTTTGGTAGAGGGTGTATGTGGGTAGAGGTTGTATGTTGGTAGAGGGTGTATGTGGATAGAGGGTGTATGTGGGTAGAGAGTGTATGTAGAGGGTGTATGTGGGTAGAGAGTGTATGTGGGTAGAGAGTGTATGTATGTAGAGGGTGTATGTGGGTAGAGAGTGTATGTAGAGAGTGTATGTATGTAGAGGGTGTATGTGTGTAGAGGGTGTATGTGGGTAGATGGTGTATGTAGAGGGTGTATGTGGGTAGAGGGTGTATGTGGGTAGAGGGTGTATGTGTGTAGAGGGTGTATGTGGGTAGAGGGTGTATGTGGGTAGAGTGTGTATGTGGGTAGAGGGTGTATGTGGGTAGAGGATGTATGTGGGTAGAGGGTGTATGTGTGTAGAGGGTGTATGTGGGTAGAGAGTGTATGTAGAGAGTGTATGTATGTAGAGGGTGTATGTGGGTAGAGGATGTATGTTGGTAGAGGGTGTATGTGTGTAGAGGGTGTATGTGGGTAGAGAGTGTATGTAGAGAGTGTATGTATGTAGAGGGTGTATGTGGGTAGAGAGTGTATGTATGTAGAGGGTGTATGTGGGTAGAGAGTGTATGTAGAGAGTGTATGTATGTAGAGGGTGCATGTGTGTAGAGGGTGTATGTGGGTAGATGGTGTATGTAGAGGGTGTATGTGGGTAGAGGGTGTATGTGGGTAGAGGGTGTATGTGGGTAGAGGGTGTATGTGTGTAGAGGGTGTATGTGTCAGGAGAGGGTGTATGTGGGTAGAGAGTGCATGTTGGTAGAGGGTGTATGTGTCAGGATAGGGTGTATGTGGGTAGAGGGTGTATGCGGGTAGAGGGTACATGTGTCAGTAGAGGGTGTATGTGGGTAGAGGGTGTATGTTGGTAGAGGGTGTATGTGGGTGGAGAGTGTATGTGGGTAGAGGGTGTATGTGGGTAGAGGATACATGTGTCAGTAGAGGGTGTATGTGGGTAGAGTGTGTATGTGGGTAGAGGGTGTTTGTGGGTAGAGGGTGTTTGTGGGTAGAGGGTGTTTGTGGGTAGAGGGTGTATGTGGGTAGAGGGTGTATGTTGGTAGAGGGTGTATGTGGGTAGAGAGTGTATGTGGGTAGAGGGTGTATGTTGGTAGAGGGTGTATGTGGGTAGAGAGTGTATGTGGGTAGAGGGTGTATGTGGGTAGAGGATACATGTGTCAGTAGAGAGTGTATGTGGGTAGAGTGTGTATGTATGTAGAGGGTGTTTGTGGGTAGAGGGTGTATGTGGGTAGAGGGTGTATGTGGGTAGAGGGTGTAAGTGTCGGTAGAAGATATGTGTTCTACTCACCAGTTCCTGGGTAGGGGGTCGTTGATGGCCCATAGCTGCCGGATTGAGAGCTGCTAGTTGGATAGTAATAGCTGCTAGTTGGATAGTAATAGCTGCTTGTCGGATAGTAATAGCTGCTAGTCGGATAGTAATAGCTGCTAGTCGGATAGTAATAGCTGCTCGTTGGATACGGCGTTGTGCCTGTAACATTAGAAACGTGTTGCACTGTAACAGAGAAAATATATGCAAAAACATGGGAATTGAATCAAAATGTTATTATTTTGCATCCCAGGTAGCCCAACGTATTTTGGATATAAGTTGACAGTATTACATTAAGCATTGCGCACTAACAAATACATATTCAAACATAACATATACCTATCAGTATGTCCACTCAGGAGACGAAGTAAACATCAGTATATTTAAAACATTCATTCACTCGCTGAATCGAGTTGAACTCGGCGTACTGAACTCATGACTCAACTTCATCCCTTCAAATACTAGATGCTACAGGGTGTGTCTAATGCTGAAGTGTTCAGAGAGCTTGTCATATGCCGAAGTGTTCAGAGAACATGTCTAATGCTGAAGTGTTCAGAGAGCTTGTCATATGCTGAAGTGTTCAGAGAACATGTCTAATGCTGAAGTGTTCAGAGAACATGAGTAATGCTGAAGTGTTCAGAGAGCATGTCAAATACTGGAGTGTTCAGAGAACGTGCGTAATGCTGAAGTGTTCAGAGAACGTGCGTAATGCTGAAGTGTTCAGAGATGTTTTGTAATGCTGAAGTGTTCAGAGATGTTTTGTAATGCTAAAGTGTTCAGAGAACATGCGTAATGCTGAAGTGTTCAGAGAGCATGTTTAATGCAAAAGTGTTCAGAGAACATGAGTAATGCTGAAGTGTTCAGAGAACATCTATAATGCAGAAATGTTTTTACATATTCCCCAATTATACAAATATTCCCTGATGATATATATCCCCCTATAATACATATCTCATGGTTATACATCACATACATACTATGACACTAATGACATATATATCCCGCTACATATAGAGGTCAACCATCCACGTGAATATAACCGTGCCACATGTTGTTGAACACATTCAGCGGCACACACAAGCAACAACTGATACTGGAACGTACTGGCCTGAGACAAGATGTATGGACAGTTCCAGTTCTTGAACGTGGAGTTGAGCGCCGTGGCTGTGCTGAGTGCGGCCTGGCAGGTGGGTGCATGGCTCTTGATACACTCCATGTAAGTCTTCATAGAGCTGGAGAGCAGAGACGACAGTGGAATTGTACATTACCCATACGGAATCCATAATATTAATATTCAGGAATATTTTACCTTTCTTCACAAAAAAGAATATCCATTTCCCCTTTTACATGCATAATGAGATCTCCTCATTTACCGGCATGATCAGTTCTACTATATCTTCTTATTTACCGGCTTGATGAGATCTACGATATCTCCTCTTTTACTGGCTTGATGACATCTACATCTCCTCATTTGCTGGCTTGATAAGATGTACTATATCTCCGTATTTACCTCCTTGATGACATCTACTATATCTAATCATTTACCGGTATGATAACATAAGATGTACTATATCTCCTCATTTACCTGCTTGATGAGATCTGCTTCTCCTCATTTACCAGCATGATGACATATACATTTCCTCATTTACCGGCATGATGAGATCTACATCTCCTAATTTACCGGCATGATGACATCAACTACATCTCGTTATTAACCAGCATGGTGAAAGCTACACCTCCCCATTTAGCAGCATGGCGACATCTACATCTCAGTCGTCAAAAGCCCTGCAATCTGGAGAGTTGAGTTCCTTGGGTACGCCAGAAACTATGATTGTGGGTAATTATGTTTCTAGGTTTGCTAACGGACTTGGGGCCTCCCACATTAAGTTTACACGCCATGATATAACTGGAATAATGTTAAAAAGCGTTAAACCCAACTCACTCACTCAATCATTTACCTGCAAGAATATATCTTCACTGTTTCGTTGTCGTTGGATATTCTGGACGAATCAATGTAACACGACGCTGTACCGTTACAGTCGTTGATGGGGTCGCTCGCTGCACAGAACAAAGTAACTCAATCACCGTCGTGCGAAGCCATAATTATTGTATTAAGTGACCAGACATTACAGTGCTGATTGTGAGTGAAATATATAAAGCAAGTAAAGAGTCTGACCAAGACAAACTAATGCTTTAAAGCATAATTATTTGTTTATTTGTTTGTATGTTTATAAATCAACGCCGCACTAATACTCCCGCTTTGTGACGGCGACCTGTATATAGTCCAGTCTGGTCCAGGCAAACCAGTGACTGATGTTATGAGCAACGGGCCATACCGTATGTTGACATTCAATCAAGTCACCGACACTGGGTACCCGACCCTTGACAATGCTTCATATGACAAGCGTAATGAGGTTGGGGGGTGGGGTTGGGGGTGGGGGTTGGGAAGTGAGGGGAGGGGAGGGGAGGGGGGTTGTTGGGGCTGGGGTGGGGAAGAACTCTGAAGACGTACTTACAACAGTACTGGAGCTGAAGTATCTGAGCTGTTTTCTTGACGTCATCTAGGTATTGTCTGTCGCAACCCTTCATGAAGCTTTTGTCCAGACAGGAGACGTAGTCCTTTACAACTCTAAAACAAAACATGATATCATAATTGACACATCCCGTTAATGAAACCCACGTGCTGTCTTACCGATGAGAATAATCACGGCGGAGCTGTCACTGTCTCCTGAATCTCCGAATATTGTTGAATGCCCTGATGAAGTGTCATTGTCTTCTGAATCTCCGAATATTGTTGAATGCCCTGATGAACTGTCGCTGACTCCTGAATCTCCAAGTGTTGTTGAATACTCCTGATGAACTGTCGCTGTCTCCTGAATCTCCCAGTGTTGTTCAATGCCCTGATGAGTGAGTGAGTGAATATGGTTTTACGCCGCTTTTAGCAATATTCCAGCAATATCACGGCGGGGGACACCAGAAATGGGCTTCACACATTGTACCCATGTCGGGAATCGAACCCGGGTCTTCGGCGTGACGAGCGAACGCTTTAACCACTAGGCTACCCGACCGCCCCAATGCCCTGATGAACTGCCATTGTCTTCTTAATCTCCCAGTGTTGTTGAATACTCCTGATGAACTGTCGCTGTCTCCTGAATCTCTCAGAGCTCTCGATTGCCCCGATGAACTGTCCCGTGGACCTACCCAAGTCTCTCAGAGCTGTTAAATGCCCTGATGAACTGTCCCGTGGACATACCTGCAGCTATCGGAGTTGTTGAATGCCCTGATGAACTGTCCCGTGGACCAACCCAGGTCTCTCAGAGCTGTGAAATGCCCGGATGAACTGTCCTGTTGCCCTACCCGAGTCTCTCAGAGCTGTTGAATGTCCCGAGGAACTGTCCCGTGGACCTACCCAGGTCTCTAAGAGCGGTTAAATGCCCTGATGAGCTGTCCCGTGGACCTACCCGAATCTCTCAGAGCTGTTTAATGTCCCGATTGGCTGTCCCGTGTACCTACCTGCAGGTATCGGAGCTGTTTGCTGGCATGATGAATTGTGTCTGGCACGTGCATGTGTCTGTCATAGAGATTTCTGCAATGAAATCACGCCCAAAATAGTGTTTTACCGTGAGTCAATGAGTGATATAAACGTTGTGGTAATGTGCGTGATGAAGTGAGTGCGTGAGTGAGTCTGTTCTGTGCCGCTTTGAACAGGATTTAAGTCATATCACGGCGTGTCAGCCTGGTGGGAGGAAAGCGAAAATGTAACGAGGGCTCAGACGTTTTGCACTTTGGTGAAAAACACGAGCACGTGTTTCTGTATGCTGCTAATCAACCAAGAAACATGATCAGAGCGATACCTCCCGTCCATGTACAACCTTTGTCTCGTCCAGATTGACAGTTATATCCCATTTAGTCGAATTTGCAATCCTCCAACTGAATTTGACATTATTATTACATCAGCAAAGAACACAGGTAATGATTCATTATGATCGGGAAATAATTGTTAAACATTACAGATAGTTTCATTAGATAATATTTTCTGTTTAGGCCAGGACCGTAACCTCCCTCCAACCGCCCAACCTCCCAAAACCCCCGACAACCGCTACATAGCATTTTAAAGCTCAATAACTGTCGCTATATCTGTGTTGAAACCTACCGCAGCTGTCGATGGCGTCTAGGGATGACTGCAGGGTCTGGTTGAATGGAATACCTTGACTATCAGTTGCGGAGTAGCCCAGGCACTTCATATACCTCTGGAAGGACCTAATCAAACGGGTAGACGAGTATAAGAAGGTGGTATATCATGCTCATATACATCACACGTTTAACCACGGGATAATGGTTGATAGTGGGAGTAACGATTAGCTCCGTAGGTCACTTTGTTGTTTGGCATCCATTGTGACCACCTGATCCACTTTTAAGGCACCTTCCGGGCGGTCGGGTAGCCTAGTGGTTAAAGCGTTCGCTGGTCACGCCGAAGACCCGGGTTCGATTCCCGACATGGGTACAATGTGTGAAGCCCATTTCTGGTGTCCCCCGCCGTGATATTGCTGGAATATTGCTAAAAGCGGCGTAAAACCATACCCACTCACTCACTCAAGGCACCTTCCCCAGTAGACATCCGGGTTAGAATTGGCCTTCACAAACCCATGCTTGTCCTAAGAGGCGACTAACTGGATCGGATTGTCAGGATCGCAGACTTGGTTGATGCTTGTCATCGTAGATGTTTATGATGTAAATAACTGGATTGTCTGGTTCAGACTCGGTTATTTACAAGACCGCCGTCATATAACTGGAATAATGCTGAGTGCGGCATTAAACAACAAACATACAAAAGGTATACATACAAACTTACAAAAGTCGACGCGGTATTGCTGTACCGCACACGATTCCTTTGTTTGTAACACCGGTTATACGTACTCGCAGTTATAGGTAGGATTCCAGGAGTTGTAGTTTTGGAAAGTCGAGTCGCACTCATTCCTGGGGGCTGAAATATAGGAAACAATTGCCGCGTCACTGTAGCTCACCCGGTAGAATAATAATGATATTGATTTCAACAGTTTGACAATTTGTAAACAGAAGCAGTCAGTGTCTCAGTAGTGTAAGCAACAGTAGTGTGATATATACATTGTAGCATTGATCAATCGTTAATAAATTCAAATAAGCGAACATATTCAAATTATGTATTCTTGTATATCGACATTGTGGTTCAAGAGTAAATTTGTATTTTTAAACAAATTAAATTATTGGATACTTGTTGTGCTAGTTACCTATTCCATTGGCTTTTTCAGAGTGAAAACCGGGAACACGTGTAACCTTTGGTCCCAATCGGGGTTAATAAGAATGCGATTAGTCTGTTGGGTGCCACGACAAATGGGACATTCTTGGAGTCACAAGGCGCGTCACTTTGATGCGGGAGGAACTAATGCAGGTCTTAGACGTTCACCACTTATTGTATTGTGTGACGACCCCAGAAGTGTGATAATGACGATATCAGGGTTCGAACCCCAGAATACAGGTTTCTGGCACGCAACAACCATGCAGAGCCACCCTGGAAACATGTATGCTTTGCAAGATGGATCTGAATATTGTTTTTCACAATTCAGGGTATCCAGAATGTCAGGCGAACCTATTTGTTTAAAGACCTCCAAGAAGCCGGGGTACAACAGGTCTACAGCAACCCATGCTTGTCGTAAGAGGCGACTATGTTTGTCGTAAGAGGCGACTATGTTTGTCGTGAGAAGGCGACTATGCTTGTCGTAAGAGGCGACTATGCTTGTCGTGAGAGGCGACCATGCTTGTCGTGAGAGGCGACTATGCTTGTCGTAAGAGGCGACTATGCTGGTCGTGAGAGGCGACTGTGCTTGTCGTAAGAGGCGACTATGCTTGTCGTGAGAGGCGACCATGCTTGTCGTAAGAGGCGACTATGCTTGTCGTAAGAGGCGACTATGCTTGTCGTGAGAGGCGAATATGCTTGTCGTGAGAGGCGACTATGCTTGTCGTGAGAGGCGACTATGCTTGTCGTGAGAGGCGACAATGTTTGTCGTAAGAGGCGACTATGTTTGTCGTGAGAGGCGACTTTGCTTGTCGTGAGAGGCGACTATGTTTGTCGTGAGAGGCGACGATGCTTGTCGTAAGAGGCGACTATGTTTGTCGTAAGAGGCGACTATGCTTGTCGTGAGAGGCGACTATGTTTGTCGTAAGAGGCGTCTATGTTTGTCGTAAGAGGCGACTATGCTTGTCGTAAGAGGCGACTATGCTTGTCGTGAGAGGCGACTATGTTTGTCGTGAGAGGCGACTATGCTTGTCGTGAGAGGCGACTATGCTTGTCGTGAGAGGCGACTATGCTTGACGTAAGAGGCGACAATGCTTGTCGTGAGAGGCGACCATGCTTGTCGTAAGAGGCGACTATGCTTGTCGTGAGAGGCGACTATGCTTGTCGTAAGAGGCGACTATGCTTGTCGTGAGAGGCGACTATGCTTGTCGTAAGAGGCGACTATGCTTGTCGTAAGAGGCGACTATCCATGTCGTGAGAGGCGACTATGTTTGTCGTAAGAGGCGACCATGCTTGTCGTGAGAGGCGACTATGCTTGTCGTAAGAGGCGACTATGCTTGTCGTAAGAGGCGACTATGCTTGTCGTAAGAGGCGACTATGCTCGTCGTGAGAGGTGACTATGCTTGTCGCGAGAGGCGCCTATGCTTGTCGTAAGAGGCGACTATGCTTGTCGTAAGAGGCGACTATCCATGTCGTGAGAGGCGACTATGCTTGTCGTAAGAGGCGACTATGCTTGTCGTAAGAGGCGACTATGCTTGTCGTAAGAGGCGACTATGCTCGTCGTGAGAGGTGACTATGCTTGTCGCGAGAGGCGCCTATGCTTGTCGTAAGAGGCGACTGACGGGGTCAGGTGGTCAGGCTCGCTGACTTGCTTGATGCATGTCATCGTATCCCAATGGCGTGGATCGATGAATCGATGCTCATGATGTCAATCACTGGATTGTCTTGTCCAGACTCGATTATGTATGGAAATATTGCTGAGTGCGGCGTTAAACAACACACAAACAAAAAAACAAAAACAAAAAACTCCCAAGAATATCCAATGTTTGGTAGCGTATAGGCAATACTCACTGATATAATCTGACCTCTCCAACTGCGCGGTTGATATGATAGACGCTGTTGTTGAACCGTCACATCCCGCCTGCACAGAGTTATACAGACAACCCAAGTACTTCATATACTTCCTGGAAGGTCAAACATGCGGCGGTGTTTACTCACTTCATATGTCATCGTGCTTTTGAAAGATCTGTATAAACATTCTTGATTTCATTAGGGACGAATATTAAAATCTACCAACATTCTTGATTTCATTCAGGACGAATACTCCAATCTACCAACATTCTTGATTTCATTATGGACGAACATTCCAATCTACCAACATTCTTGATTTCATTAAGGACCACTATTCTAATCACACACATGTTTCGCTGCAGTGAGAGATGCAGTGATCTTGCCACTACAAAGCCCTGAAGTACAAGTACAGGCATACTCACTTTTGATCATTCGAGCTGGAGTCGGTCCATCTCTCAATCTGACACTGGCACGTATCGTAGGCATCTGAAAGTGAACAAACACCTAACACACAATTTCTGACACTCGCTTCGTAAAATCACGTAATAACCTCTCTTACTGACGTTCTCTAAGTTTATAATACCGTTTAATATTAATTCTAAATGCAAGAGACTAACCAGTCTAGATTATCCGCCAAAAACAGATTCCAAATGGCAAAATAAGGTGAAAAGTATTTGAATGGACCACTGAAAATCAGTGATGACGCCGGGAGCATCACGTCCTGCTCTACCGGCAGCACCCGTCGCTCAACACAACGTGCATCAAGAAGCAAGTATTTACTGCCTGATACCGCCCAGCACTACTACTGCCATGTGACGGCGGCCTATAAACAAACCAGGCTGTCACGTGATCGATGAACCAGAACATCCAGTGATACGATATTGCACGTACTGATTAGATGAAACTAATAAAGAACTTTGTGAATGCTGTGGGACCGCTTCAGTTAGACGTTAAACGTTACAGTGGTATGACGTGGTGAGGGAACTCAAAAGTGTGTGTGTATGTGTGTGTGCGTGTGTGCGTGCATGTGTGTGCGCGCGCTTGTGTGTGTGTGCGTGCGTGCGTGTGCGTGCGCGCGCTTGTGTGTGTGTGCGCGCTTGTGTGTGTGTGTGTGTGTGTGTGTGTGTGTGTGCGCGCGTGCGTGCGTGCGTGTGTGTGTGTGTGTGTGTGTGTGTGTGTGTGTGTGTGTGTGTGTGTGCGTGTGCGTGTGTGCGTCTGTGTGTGTGCGTGTGTGCGTGTGTGTGTGTGTGTGTGTGTGTGTGTGGCTGTTTGCATCAGCCCGGACTCATGCCGGTTTTAAAGTGCAGCTCACTGAGATAACATGCCGCAGTTTAACATGAATGCCCCACTCAGACACAGTATACTGACTCCGAGCCGACTGCCATATGCTACATTTTCGTGAGTATGACGTCATATTGCTTCAAACGTCCAATCAGCTTACGGGATGATCGATAGTGTGGCAGTGTGACACTTACAACCTTTAGCTTACATATTCCTTGAGTATAATTCCACGGCGCATGGCCTTATTTGTTATGGTTATGAGAAAACTACATGGGGACACGCATCTTCCCGAGACAAGGGAGTTAACTGACTGTAAAAGTCCAGTTTCCACCCGTGCCGAACTAGGCTGGAATATCTGGTCTCTATCGTAGCGCCACGAGTGGCTACAGCGAGTTATGTCCCCTCTATGTCCCTCCTATTGACCAATCAGATTCCACCTTTCAGATCATTTGCCTTTGCTTCAAATAAAATAGCGTCGCCCAGAGAAGACGATCTGATCGATAACCAAGGTTTCATACTGTACAAATGCGAGTCTTACTTCGCGAAGTGCATCAAATCATGTGAGCACCTTGATTAAAAGCATGAGAAGATTTGGAAAATATCTGTTGACACTAAGTTGATGGTAAACATGCTTTGCAAATCTTACAATCGACCGAAATCTGCACGGCAGCTTACAAACCGGAAGTCGATTTCGTTATGCGGTTTCGTACAGCCAAAATGTAACTCCATAATTCTTGCCAAATTCGGCAAATGTGGAAACCGGACTTTTACAGTCACTTAACTCCCTTGCCTCGGGAAGATTTGGGACATTAGTAATCGTTGGAAAGATGTGACCAAACTTTTAAAAGAAATTTTATCTTTTTCTCACATGTGTTTAATGATATCCGTACATACAAAATACACAAACAATTATAAAAAAATAAATTGTTCAAAATATTCCCAACTGTATAATTATTATTTCACTAAATATGTTTATGTTTCCGGCAACAATCTTAAGAGGGAGGCACGCCTTGTCCTATAGCACTGCCTTGTGGCGTAGGGCAGTGTAGCGGTTCTGTCCGACCTATTCCCCCATACAACATGTCGCTGCCGTGAAACGTTGCCCCATTTCCGTGAAGCTGGAGGTCTGCCGAGAGGGCCGGGGACATTCATGCAGCATATTTCGCTATGCGGGAAATAGGACTTACAGCAGGACTGGTACGGCATAGCGTTACGGTAGTCGTAGATGTTGTTGATGTCGACGTTGCTGAGGGGGCAGCCGGTGGACAATTTAGTCGTGTAGGTCAGACAGGAAACGTAGTTTTTAAGTGTCCTGTGGAAAAATATACTGTTTACTTCCGACATAACAGAACAGGACTTTAGTACATATCTCGAAGCATATCAATCTCATTAAAATCAAATCTTAGTTCTCGCTACTGCTAAACAAAGATCTGAGGACATCCCATTACGGGTCACGTCAGACCAACCTTTCGCGAACTTTGACCGACCAATGGAATGACTCACAATAAGTCGACAATAGCCGTAACTTGGAATACCCCTTCTAGGTTGCATAATTAGATAACAAATTCCGACTGTCACTTTCCGAATCTGGTAAGCGACGCTCTGATTGGTCGGATGAAAGGTCGTTTTGACGTGACCTGTAATGTTATGTCCTCAGATCTTTGTTTGGCGGTAGCTACCTGGGATCTGATTTTAATGAGATTGGAAGCATATATTCACACAGTTCATGAAAGCGATTACTTCGTGTGTAACCAATTCCGATAATCAGAAGTGATATTAATGTCTGATGGTGATCCATACATTCTCACGATATAATCGGAATCCTACCTCGGATCCTGCTTATGACAAATTATGGAATAGATGGTGTCGCATACATCTATCTCCTCATGAGTTTGGGTATTTCGTCAAACGTAACTTTCGTTCAAGGGGACTACGTTCTACCACTCGACAGTCCCAGCACAACTGATTCAAGTAAATCGATTAAACCATTCCAAAATCCGTTGAGACCCGTGAAGATCCAGGCAGAGAACAGCAACCCAGGCTTGTCGTAAGAGGTGACTAACGGGATCGTGTGGACGCTGACTTGATTGATGCATGTTATTGTATCCCAGTTGTGTCGATCGATGCTCATGATGTAAATCACTGGATTGTTTAGTCAGACTCCATTATTTACAGACAGCCGTCATATAGCTGGAATATTGCTGCTTGCGGCGTTTAGCAAAACAAATAAACAAACAATCATTGACAAAGTCAGTTGTACGATTCCGACTAAATCATATGAATGTGCTAAAAAATCGCTATTAATTAGTGATGATACAAGGTGATTGCGAGGTGAGCGTATCCTGCCCCACCGGTGGCATCTGTCACAAGTACATGCAAAGGCAAGTCAATTGTCTATATATGAGATACAAGTCACGATAGGGGATTCTATCGGGCATCATTTTGGTCAATTGTGCGTCAAATTTGGCAATGTCATCCACATGTCTACCATAAAACTGATTGAAAGCTTTACTTAGGTCTTAAATGTTGTAACCCTTATCAAACAAATTTTGAGCAAGAGAAGTATGATGCTCGTTAAAATCGTACACATTGCGTGCTTGATTATACCTCAATAGTTGTGAAATGAGCGAAGCATTTTGAGCAGCATATCTGAATGCTAAATCCCAAAATCAAGCATAAACGGACAGTTCTAAATGAAAAATAATAAAAGCGGTGCCTTTATTGGGTATGGTGCTGACAAAACTGTCGGGATCCGTACCCACGATCATAGGTTTCTTGCACGGCTCAGGGAAGCAACACAGCGAATTGCGGTTCCTGAGACGAAAGGGTCACAGTGAAACTTGCTACTCCAGGCAGTAAGCGGACGGTACCCAGTCGTCCGGATAAACGAATGTCCGTTTTACCAAATCACTGGTTAGGCCGAAGGAGGGAGTAACGGTGTCTCAGTATTTACAACTGAGGATTCGAACCGGGTCTTGCATCATAACGAGCGAACGCTCCACCAACATGCCCACTCACCTGCATCTCTCACCAACAAGCCCCTCCCACCAGTCAGCAACACAGAGGGAACGGCCCACTCACCTGCATCTCTCCCCCAACAAGCCCCTCCCACCAGTCAGCAACACAGAGGGAACGGCCCACTCACTTCCATCTCTCCGCCAACAAGCCCCTCCCACCAGTCAGCAAAACAGAGGGAACGGCCCACTCACCTACATCTCTCCCCCAACAAGCCCCTCCCACCAGTCAGCAACACAGACAGAACGGCCCACTCACCTGCATCTCTCCGCCACGGACACAGAGTTGGTCCTCTCAGCTATGAAAGCTACTTTGCATGAGTTACAGGTTTCTGAAACATCAAACGTCGCACGATCAGCAGGTAACGCGGATACAGTCAATGTGAAGATTCATTTAGAAGTGATACACATAAGGAAGAGATTTTATGGATGTAAACTTTTTTATTATGAGGAACTAAATGTTTTGGAGTACACTCTTCAAAAAAAGAAACGCACAGGTAGATGTTTAGTAAATTTATTGCACCTAATAAAGTCGATATATACACAGTAAAAAAAGTGTTGCACCCCCACATTAATACGTTTGATACATCACAACATTTAAAACGCCCGACTCTGGTTTTAATGGTAGGTATTCCTTGGGGATCTGATGTTAAATGTGTAATGTTTTCGGAGGGAAGATGATCACCAAAACGTAGCAATCAGCACGTGAATTGCATGGTGCATGACATTTGCAGATTGCAGTATCTTCTTAAGCTCAACATCGCCTATAAAAGATGTTCTCTGACAGCCCAGTTTATTGTAACCCACAATGCCGGGTAGACGATTATCAGAAGCAGTCAAGTGGCAGATTATTGGCCTTCATGGAGCAGGTCTTTCGTTCAAGGAGATTGGCAGAAGAACCGGACATCACTACTCAACAATAAGCCGTTTGGTCAGAAAACACGCACAAACTAATGATGTAAGGAATCGCAGACCCACTGGCAGACCACGTAAGACCACAGTTAGAGATGACAGAGCGTTGTTGAGGGTGGTAAGGTGTCATCCATTTGCTACAAGCACAACCTTGAAACGTCTTTGGCTTCCTCGTCAACAGTTCAGTACCCAGACCGTGAGAAATCGTCTTAAAGCTGCAGGGTTGAAGTCCAGAAGGGTTATCAAGCGACCTAAACTCACAGACAACCACAAACGACTACGTCTAGCCTGGTGTAGACTGAGACAGAACTGGAACTTGAGGTCCTGGAGAAGAGTCCACTGGTCGGACGAAAGCAGGTTCCTTCTGCATGTTGTGGATGGCAGAGTGAGAGTATGGAGGCGTCCTGGAACAGCTTATACTGCAAGAAACATCATGCCAACTGTACCATATGGAGGTGGATCTGTTATGGTCTGGGGATGCTTCTCATTTGATTGTAAGCTTGATTTAGTGACCATACGAGGCAACTTGACAGGGGAGCGCTACATCCAAGAGGTGCTGAATCCAGTTGTGGTGCCCCATTTTGACAATCATCCACTGGCCACCAGACCGATATTCATGGATGACAATGCCAGACCACATCGTTCACGAGCTGTGACCCAGGTTATCCACAACAATGCTCTGGCGCAGATTCCATGGCCAGCAATGAGTCCAGATCTGAATCCTCTGGAACATGTATGGGACATTTTGGGACGCCTGATTTATCGTCGGGACCCTCCTCCACAGAACTTGCGTGAATTGGAAGCAGCATTACACGAGGAGTGGCAGCAGCTGCCCATGGAGCGATTCCAACGTCTGGTGAGGAGTATGAGACGAAGACTTCAAGCTGTGATCCAAGTGCTTGGTGGAAGTTCTCGATATTGACTTACTGTGTTCGTCAAATCTCCATATGACATTCTTACCCTATTGGATGAATTTGGTCACTAAAAATTATTGAGATGTCACCATACTTAATGAGTCTTCGTTGTTCGTTCATTTTTCGTAAAAGTTCAGCATGAGATTATTACATGCCATAAGGTCATGGAATACCCCATTTAAGTTCATTGTATAGACAATACACTGGTTTGTTGGTATACACGAAATCCTGGTTATAATATTAATTCGGTTATCTTTACACCCTTTCAAAACACCCCTCCATGAAAAAGTATAGGGGGTGCAACACTTTTTTTACTGTGTATATTTAGTTTTATATCATAGACACAAATATGAAATTTTGTAGCTCGATAGTCACATGATGTCGTTGTACAAAGGCATTAAAAACTGTTCATTGACATGTCACATAAGGCCACACGATTGCGCAGAACTCAGTATCTCGTGTGACCGCCCCGGGCAGCAACCACGGCTCTGCATCTCCTCGGCACTGACTGGATAAGTGTACGAATTCTGTCCTGTGGCATTCTGTGCCATTCTGCTTGTAACACGTTGGCCAGTTGTGAGAGTGTCTGCGACGTGTTCTGACCTTTACGTACACGTCGATCGAGTTCATCTCAGAGGTGTTCGATTGGGTTGAGATCTGGAGATCCCGACGGCCAGGGCGAGTCGTTGATGTTGGCATTATGAAGGTAGTCTACCGTGACACGAGCTATGTCCGGTGGAGCGTTGTCCTTTTAATAGCCCTTACCACGAGTTACGAATGCCACGTGCATTTTGCTTCACTTTTGTCCTCCATGACATTTTTGAACAAGTGTGAAAACAATGCTGTTTAAGACATTGCAAAACGACAATGGTTGCGTTTTGAAGCAACGTTTATCGAATGTCAGGCCACTAACATTTTCATTTTTTGAAGAGTGTATATACTTACCCCTTCATCAGGTGAATAAATGCTATGAGGCAGATAGAATTTATTGTTTTCGTAATAATGTTTCCGTTTAGAACCTCCACTCATAATATATAAATTGAAACAGGCAGATGGAGGAAAATACCATTAACTTAACACAAATGCCGATACTGCCAATGATATGACAGGAGAAGAATTTCACTATTTCTTTGTCTGTCCGTCATTTGAAACAGAGAGGAAACAACTGTTTCGAATTATGAAATTGCTTTTTATTTATTAGGAACATTGAAAAACTTTTCTAGGTAGTGTAAAATAATCGTGTTTAAGTCCAAACCTGGAAAGAATGTTTCATAAATGTTTGTAAAAATTTCCAGAAAGTTCGGAAGAGATGTTTATGAAATTGTAATATTATTTTTATGTACGTACACTTTTGTATCAATACATGACATAATCTGATGTGAGTGTTGGCGACCTGACGGAGACCGGCACACGTTGGGTTCATTGAGAGAAAGGATGGTTTTTAATGGTCAGTGTGGAATTGAATGGAGAACCCCCTTCACCTCCCCTACACCCTCCACCCCCTACACCCCCTCACCTCCCCCACATCCCCCCACCATCTCCCCCACCCTACACCCCCTCACCCCCCACCCCCCACCCACCCACCCCACCCCCTCACCCCACCACCCCACACCCTACATCCCCCCACCACCCCACACCCTACATCCCCCCACCACCCCACACCCTACATCCCCCCACCACCCCACACCCTACATCCCCAACCCCCACATAGTTCTCTAGGACACATGTACCGAAAATATCCTTACTCAGCTTTTCACACTACAGCTCCAACTTGCGTAGAAACATATTTCAATTATTTAATTGAGAATACATAGTACTTTGTCAGCGTAGTTTACACTTACTTGTTTCTCTTTTCTGTCGATCTCCAGCAACTAACACCTGAATAAAAAACAGAAGTGTTAACTGATTGTGTGATTCCATACTGTCTAACAACTATTTCTAACTGTGAACACAGTTGATTTGTCAGACAAACCAGACGTTGAGAGGATCTCATTGTCTTCAGCCTGAATGAGTAACCGGGGATTTATTCTAACCCGAGACAAATACTACAGGGGGAGTTTTGATGACGACAGATATAGACGGACTATATCGTGTATTGCCCTTCCCCAGGGGGCGCTGATAGTTGGGGGCGGGGGGGTAATGTTCGAACCTCAGATGCATTGAAATCATCAGTGGCAAGATCATCGGCCGCCTACTGTGAACAACAAAGGTTGTACTTGCGATAACATTCTCTTGAAGCACAGATTCTAGTACTTTGAATCCCGGATTGAACTCAACTGAAATCCGGTACTAGAATTTGTGCTTTACTTTTTATACCCCGTTCACATACACAACATTTACTAAAACCCCGGTCACATGCACAACATTTACAAATACCCCGGTCACATGCACAACATTTACTAAAACCCCGGTCACATACACAACATTTACTAATACCCCGGTCACATGCACAACATTTACAAATACCCCGGTCACATGCACAACATTTACTAAAACCCCGGTCACATACACAACATTTACTAAAACCCCGGTCACATGCACAACATTTACAAATACCCCGGTCACATGCACAACATTAACTTATACCCCGGTCCCATGCACAACATTTACAAATACCCCGGTCACATGCGCAACATTTACTAATACCCCGGTCACATGCACAACATTTACTAATACCCCGGTCACATGCACAACATTTACTGATACCCTGGTCACATGCACAACATTTACTAATACCCCGGTCACATGCACAACATTTACTAATACCCCGGTCACATGCGCAACATTTACTAATACCCCGATCACATGCACAACATTTACTGATACCCCGGTCACATGCACAACATTTACTAACGCAAGTAAGTTTGCCCATGTGTAACTATACATACGTGTATATATGTAAATATACTATGCGTTCACATGGATATCAACTTAGGTGTGGCAATAAAGTATGTAAAGTGTGTTAGACTTTCAAAACAAGACAGGTTGTTTTCCAATCAAAATGGGGGGCACGGGTGGCCCAGTCGTCTGAGGCGCTGCGACTCGCTGTGCAGAGTTGCGTCCCTTGGGCACGCCAGAAACCTATGATTGTGGGTTCGCATCCCGGTTCGCCCCGATTATGTTTCTAGGTTTGTCAGCACCATACCCGTGGTCGGGGGTTTCACCGAAGTGGTAAACGTCTAAGACCTGCATCAGTTCGGGCTTTCCTCCCACATTAAGCTGACACGCCGCGATATAACTGGAATACTGTTAAAATCGGCGTTAAACCCAACTCACTCACTCACTCACTCCAATCAAAATGAATGAGAAGAGCGTTGCTTCACCGAAAATGTTCGCGTGAAGCAACATGTGTTTTATTTAATTTGAACAAAAAGTTTTGACTCCTTGAAACCAAAGAAACACTGTCCGCTCAACCCTGTTTATACGCATAAAAGTTGGCAACTGTTGACAATTTGTTTGGCGTTGACAAAAGAATAGATATTAATTACTTCATCCTCTTACGTTGACATAGACGTTCACAATCCAACATATACACATAATCTACGACACAGGTACCTGTTATCTAAGACAGAGGTACGTGTTATCTACGACAGAGATACCTATAATCTACTACACAGGTACCTGTAATGTACGACAGCGGTACTTGTAATCTACGACAGAGGTACCTGTAATCTACGACAGAGGTACCTGTAATCTACGACAGAGGTACCTGTAATCTACGACAGAGGTACCTGTAATCTACGACAGAGGTGCCTGTAATCTACGACAGGGTACCTGTAATCTACGACAGAGGTGCCTGTAATCTACGACAGAGGTGCCTGTAATCTACGACAGCGGTACCTGTAATCTACGACAGAGGTACCTGTAATCTACGACAGAGGTGCCTGTAATCTACGACAGGGTACCTGTAATCTACGACAGAGGTGCCTGTAATCTACGACAGGGTACCTGTAATCTACGACAGAGGTGCCTGTAATCTACGACAGGGTACCTGTAATCTACGACAGAGGTGCCTGTAATCTACGACTGGGTACCTGTAATCTACTACAAAGGTACCTGTAATCTACGACAGACGTACGTGTAATGTACGACAGCGGTACCTGTAATCTACGACAGAGGTGCCTGTAATCTACGACAGAGGTACCTATAATCTACGACAGAGGTACCTATAATCTACGACAGAGGTACCTGTAATCTACGACAGGGTACCTGTAATCTACGACAGGGGTACCTGTAATCTTCGACAGAGGTACCTGTAATCTACGACAGGGTACCTATAATCTACGACACAGGTACCTGTTATCTAAGACAGAGGTACGTGTTATCTACGACAGAGATACCTATAATCTACTACACAGGTACCTGTAATCTACGACAGACGTACGTGTAATGTACGACAGCGGTACTTGTAATCTACGACAGAGGTGCCTGTAATCTACGACAGCGGTACCTGTAATCTACGACAGAGGCACCTAAAATCTGCGACAGGGTACGGTTGGCCCCTTGTTGTAAGGTGCTCAACTCACTCACTCACTCACTCACTATTCCAGCTACATCTTGGCACAGGACACCTGTAATTGGCTTTCCATGTGGTACCCATGTGACCATTTGAATAATCGAACCCGGGTTTTCGATTTCACGAGCGAACGCTGTAACCATTATGCTGCCCAATCGCCCTCTAACTACCGTGACTTAAGAAGTAAAATATGCTTCACAATCAAATAAGCGTAGGTAAAACAGCGGGAAGCGTAGGTAAAACAGCGGGAAGCGTAGGTAAAACAGGGGGAAGCGTAGGTAAAACAGTGGGAAACGTAGGTAAGACAGCGGGAAGCGTAGGTAAAACAGCGGGAAACGTAGGTAAAACAGTGGGAAACGTAGGTAAAACAGTGGGAAGCGTTGGTAAAACAGCGGGAAGCGTAGGTAAAACAGCGGGAAGCGTAGGTAAAACAGCGGGAAACGTAGGTAAAACAGTGGGAAGCGTAGGTAAAACAGCGGGAAACGTAGGTAAAACAGCGGGAAGCGTAGGTAAAACAGTGGGAAACGTAGGTAAAACAGCGGGAAAAGTAGGTAAAACAGTGGGAAGCGTAGGTAAAACAGCGGGAAGCGTAGGTAAAACAGCGGGAAACGTAGGTAAAACAGCGGGACACGTAGGTAAAACAGCGGGAAGCGTTGAATGAAGTGACACAATACTGTGCAAGAAACATGCAAAAGTTTCCAAAATACTTATGAAATTATTAGCTTTTTAAAAATATGTAAAATTTGCATAAGAATATAATACCTGACAGGTGTAGATCAGCGCGAGAACAATGACAGCACGGAACATGTTGTGTTTCATGTGGAAGCAGTGGTGACAAGCAGCCTCGCCCCCTGTATTTAAGTAGTTGGTCGTACACGTGTATAAATAAAACACCCAGAAATACAATCGTCGACCAATCGCACAGGTCACTGTTTAAACGCACCTGTAGAAGAGTATAGGAATGTGAGCGGGTCATCGATAACGAGGGGCTCAGTTTCCCACCTGTCCCCCTGGTCAATCAAAGGGCCTCTCGTGTGTCATCGCTAAACGTGCATGCAAATAATTGTGTAGTTAAACCTGTGTACAAGTCACATAAGTCACATGCGCGTGATGACATCTGAGTATACAACACATTGCCTGACGAATCTCACCTGACTTCAATATTTGTGCAGTGTTCGGTTTCATGGATTATTCATGCTGTTTCAATTATTTTATTATTACCTGCTGGTGAGATAATTGACTAAGAATCATTCGAGTTTCTCGGTCGTACCGGGCATGGGTGATCCAGTCGTCTGATTCTCCTCCATTCGCTATGCAGAGCTGCATGCTTTAGGCGTGACCGAAACATGATCGTGGGTTCGGATCCTGGTTTGTAATGGTATGTGTTTCTGGGTTTGTCAGCACCATACATGCACCTGTGCTCGTACTCTCCTCAGTGGCAAACGGCTAAGCCCTGCATAACTGCATACCTGCATACCTGCATACCCCCGGGCTTACGTTTCACGTCAAGCCGAAACGCTGTGAAATAGATGAAAAAAACGCCAATCGCAGTTTAATCCCACACTACCACCTCAGTCACTCCCACCTCAGTCACTCAGTCACTCAGTCACTCAGTCACTCACTCACTCACTCACTCACTCACTCACTCACTCACTCACTCAATCACTCACTCACTCACCCACTCACTCACCTGATTCCACTGTGCAGGCTACTCTGTACATAATTTTCTGTACAGAGCTACTGTGTGTACCTAATCCATTATAAGATACTTTGTCGGTCCGCACACATGGCGATTTATACGGGAAAACATTGACGTCAACCGTCTTTATGACGTCCAAGCACCCATTAGGCCACGTTTCTCCTGGCGGGTCACATGTGTTGACTATTCACTGATCTTGTGTTGTTTACTGATTTCACTATTAAGTTCTGTACGCACCGACTTCTGGGTTAACGCTCGCGTTTCAATAAGGAAATCAACACATAGCAGCATCTTGATAGTTTGTCTCTTGTGGGCTGTACCAGGCAAACATAGAGCAGTTTGCATATCAACTGTGTGAACACACGATGCATCACTATTGATGGATTTTCTATAAATCAGAAACAGAAACATTTATTCCCAGACTAATACACGAGTATACATATAGTCATGGGAAACGGAAATAAAATGACATTGGTCATAAATATCACATGATCAGTCTCTTAATATATCCCCGTAGTGATTCCGGGTAAGAATAGTTGCCCAACACCAACGCGTGTCGTAAAATGTGCCTCCTTGAGGATTCCGGGTTAGAATAGTTGCCAAGCAGCCAACGCGTGTCGTAAAAGGTGGCCCCTTGAGGATTCCGGGTTAGAATAGGTGCCAAGCAACCAACGTTTGTCGTAAAGTGTGCCCCCTTGAGTATTCCGGGTTAGAATAGTTGCCCAGCAACCAACGCTTGTCGTAAAATGTGCCCCCTTGAGTATTCCGGGTTAGAACGCGTGTCGTAAAATGTGCCCCCTTGAGGCTTCCGGGTTAGAATAGGTGCCAAGCAACCAACGCTTGTCGTAAAATGTGGCCCCTTGAGTATTCCGGGTTAGAATAGTTGCCCAGCAACCAACGCTTGTCGTAAAATGTGGCCCCTTGAGTATTCCGGGTTAGAATAGTTGCCCAGCAACCAACGCTTGTCGTAAAATGTGGCCCCTTGAGTATTCCGGGTTAGAATAGGTGCCCAGCAACCAACGCTTGTCGTAAAATGTGCCCCCTTAAGTATTCCGGGATAGAACGCGTGTCGTAAAATGTGCCTCCTTGAGGATTCCGGGTTAGAATAGTTGCCCAACAACCAAAGCGTGTCGTAAAATGTGCCCCCTTGAGGATTCCGGGTTAGAATAGTTGCCCAGCAACCAAAGCGTGTCGTAAAATGTGCCCCCTTGAGTATTCCGGGTTAGAACGCGTGTCGTAAAATGTGCCTCCTTGAGGATTCCGGGTTAGAATAGTTGCCCAGCAACCAACGCTTGTCGTAAAATGTGCCCCCTTGAGTATTCCGGGTTAGAACGCGTGTCGTAAAATGTGCCTCCGTGAGGATTCCGGGTTAGAATAGGTGCCCAGCAACCAAAGCATGTCGTAAAATGTGGCCCCTTGAGTATTCCGGGTTAGAATAGGTGCCCAGCAACCAACGCGTGTCGTAAAATGTGCCCCCTTGAGGATTCCGGGTTAGAATAGGTGCCAAGCAAACAACGCTTGTCGTAAAATGTTGCCCCTTGAGTATTCCGGGTTAGAATAGTTGCCCAGCAACCAAAGCGTGTCGTAAAATGTGCCCCCTTGAGTATTCCGGGTTAGAATAGGTGCCCAGCAATCAAAGCATGTAGTAAAATGTGCCCCCTTGAGTATTCCGGGTTAGAATAGTTGCCCAGCAACCAAAGCCTTTTCGTACAATGTGCCCCCTTGAAGATTTCAGGTTAGAATAGTTGCCCAGCAACCGAAGCGTGTCGTAAAATTTGCCCCCTTGAAGATTTCGGGTTAGAATAGGTGCCCAGCAACCAAAGCGTGTTGTAAAATGTGCCCCCTTGAAGATTTCAGGTTAGAATAGTTGCCCAGCAACCGAAGCGTGTCGTAAAATGTGCCCCCTTGAAGATTTCGGGTTAGAATAAGTGCCCAGCAACCAAAGCGTGTTGTTAAATGTGCCCCCTTGAGTATTCCGGGTAAGATTAGGTGCCCAACAACCAACGCGTGTTGAAACAGCTCCCTCTGGCGGTCAATGATTGGAAGAAGGTGAGGTTGAAGAATGTAGCGATTAGCTGTCAAATTTCCCTGAACCATCACCAAGTCAGATCTCCTGGCGTGGGATTTGCCTCCCACACTGTGACACTACCACCACCGAATTTGTCGAATTCACGTAACCACAATGTGGGACAGAACGCTCATTTCGACGACGATAACCACGTTGTCTTCCATCTCGCCGATGACGAAGAAATCGTGATTTATCGTTAAACCACACTCGTCTCCAGTTTCTCAAATTCCAAGTCTGTAAGGTATGGCACCAACGCAAGCGTCGCTGTCGATGGACTTGTTGCAAAATAGGGACGATGACTGGTCTTCTGGGTAGGATTCCAGCCTCGCGAAGAGGGTTCCTGACAGTCTGGTCCGATATCCTCCTCAAACCAGGGATGCGGCCTGCAGTCTCCGTAGCTTTGGCATCGCGATGACGTAGGTGGAACTGTCGAATGTTGCGATCCTGTGCGGGGGTGGTAACCCTTGGTCGGCCGGCTCTCGCACGGTCTGCAGTGGAATTGAAATGTGTGTATCGGTCCTAAAGGCGGCAAATGGTGCTGTGGTGGACGTTGAAGTGGCGTGCAATAGAAGACTGCGATTCCCCTCTTTGGATACGTCCTATGGCGATGTTCCGATCGGCAGCGCTGAGGCTCGGCATTTTCAAACTTTAAAAATGTTGACAATTGAATGACACATTATTGACTCATGCTTGCCTGTTAATAGCCACTACCACGAGTTACGAATGCCATAACTTGCACGTGCATTTTGTTTTACTGTATTTCATGAAATTTTTGGACAAGTGTGAAAACAATACCGTTTAAGACATTGCAAATCGACAATGGCTGCGTTTTGACGTACCGTTTGTCGAATATCAGGCCACCAACAATTTCCAATAACATATGTCCAATTTATATACCGTATTTTTGTGTAGTGTAGAAATAAATAGGAATACAGAAAAGCATGCATTCCACGCAAAAGTTGACTTTTATGCAAGCCCCATGCATTTCACTTCCCAAGAATGGGTATAAAAACATGTGCGTTAACGGGATTCCATATGCCTTGTTAAGCATCGTGCTGACAGCAACCACTCAAAAAAAATTTACGCAAATATTCAACATTATGAAATGCCACGCCTATCCGAAAATGAGCGTCTGCGAGCCATTGGTATGCTTGAAGCAGGATCGATTCAACGTGATTTTGTAAGACAATTTAACGTCCACAGAAACATCATTTGGTCTTTATTGCAACGTTGGCAACAGACGAATGCAGAAAGAGGCCACGCGTAACCAATAATCGACAAGACAACTGGATTCGAACAACACACATACGAAATCAATTCCAGCCAGCAACAGTGACTGCAAGAAGCATCCCTTGCCTTCGACGAATATCTCCACAAACCGTACGTCGTCGCCTCAGATGTGCAGAGATTGTCGCCAGAAGACCCGCCAGACGTCCCATTTTGACAGGAAACAACCGTCAAGCACAGTGCTGCAGACAGCGTCTGCGCTGGACGACCATGCACTGGGGACAAGTTCTATTCACTGACGAGTCTCGCTTTCACCTCAGCCACAGCGATGGACGGATTCAAGTGTACCGACGTCGAGGTGAATGTTACGTCAATCATTGTGTCATGGAAGAAGATCGGTTCGGGGGCGGCAGCGTTATGGTATGGAGTAGGATTACAGCAAGACAGAGGACCCGTTTGATAGTGGTAGAGGGAAATCTCAATGGACAGCGCTACCGCGACGAGATCATCGGCCCTGTTGTTCAACCGTTTTTGCGTCGTCACGGCCCAGGCATTACCTTTAACATGACAACGCCCGGGCTCCAATCACCCGACTTGTTCAGGATTCTCTTCAACAAAACAACGTGAATGTCATCCTCTGGCCGGCTCGCTCCCCTGATCTCTCACAAATCGAGCACATGTGGGATGAGATGCATCGGCGCCTTCGACGTCAACCACGTGTACCACAGACACTCCAGGAACTTCGAAACATGCTCCAGCAGATATGGACAGATATCCCACAGGACTTTGTGCGACGCCTTGTCCATTCCATGAGACGAAGATGTGTTGCTTGCATCGCAACCAGAGGTGGGCATACACGTAAATTGACATTTTGGCATGATCATGTGTTTTTTTATGAAATCAGGCATTTTCTGAAGTCAGTATGGCAAATTAAACCATTTGAACACTTACAGGAGTCTTTTATCTGTTGCAAACCGAAATTGTTTCAGATTTGGTAAAAAACATAACTTTGCATTAAATCTTATTCAATGTCACAGGAACTTTTGTTGTTCAGTATATGAGCAGTGGTAACAACTCACAGTGACCTAGTTTCAATGAGTAGCATAAGCCATATTTTCATTGTTACATATAAGTCTGCCTAGTGCCACCATAAGTGGTTCTCCCGTCTGGCCCGACCCAAGCTGAGTCGACGGACGGGTCCGACGGACGCTGAGTCGCGCCGGTAGCTGACGGTCCCGCGTCTGTGCCAAGCCGTGTCGAGCCGGCGAAACCAGTCTTCGTCCGAGCAGGCGCATCCGTGGTTTGGGGTTATGCGAAAAGCCAATGTTTTCCCATGTACACCTTTTTGTTTCTTTTGTATCACTTCCATTAATCGTTAAGAACCATCTTGGTACATGAGTTGTACAACAACAAAAACTACAGTAATATATCTAGATGTACAGCTAGATAGCATACATGGTAGAATACGTCACAGTATAGCATTCAAATGGCTGAGGAACTTTGACAGTCTTTTTAAAGTACATATTTTACCATTTGTGAACAGTTTACGACATTTAATCATGTTTAGCCAGTGTGTGTAGTATTCATTGACACATTCAGTGTGTAATGTTAAAGATGAATTACACCTGAATAAATAGTGGAACTCGTCGCCAATTTTGTAATTTGTATTTACAAGTTCCTAAAACAGTAAAGGTTTAGAAATATGATCAGGGAGAAGTAAATATTAGCCTGGGATAAATATGACCAAGTATGTTGCGTTTCAACGTAAATGATGAAATCTTATTAGGATTAGGTAATACTTACTTACACCAGTATGGTGTGGCACGTTTAGCAATGTTAATGCTTAGTGGTACTCTACCCAATTCGCCAATTCTACATTGAGGCTTTTTTGTCTGAGTGTGTGTGTGTATATTTGTATGTATGAATACTAGTATGTACATAAATAACTAGTAGGCATTCAACAGCCACTACATTTCCACGTGTGCACAGTCTGGCTTTAAAGCTTCAATAAAAACACAAATTTTGGCTAGCTCAACCAGTTTATTTTACGAGTACTGGAAGCGAAACACACCAACCCAAGTCCCGCGCCAAATGTCACCTGCTCGAAAACATCCGTGCATGGTCATGGTCACACTCAGGATTAGTCATCCTGTTCAAAAAGACAACACTAAATATTGGAAAAACGTGGTCACCTTTAATTTATACAATAGATGTTCATTTGAAAACATCAACAAATCTCACACAAGTTCATCCAATCACAGGTGCCACATCTCTCAATCTACATTCAATCTTCCTCTGCGAAAGCTGCTGTCTGAACGACTGATTCTGATTTGGTGTGGTAGCAGTAGAAATCCTGTAGGCTGGCGCCAGCACTCTCAGAGTTGCAGAGTAATTCTTTCTGAAACCAGTTTAGACTTCAGATAATATAATATCCATTTACGACAATGAAAGTAGTGAATATATTGTCAACAAAAGAAGTACAAACGTTACCAAAGCGTCTTACAAGTGGTCGTGGAAGCGGTTTGTAGTTTATTTGGTAGCTAAGGCTTACCCTTCTTATGAATTGACTTATTTGCACCCCATTTAACCATTCTTCTGGTGTCTTACCAGTATGAAATATTATACTGAACAATTTCATCTGTACAGTCATCTTTTCGCCTGATAATGCCGTCGCGCAGTCAATTTTTAACTCACTCACTTTTTGCCTGACCCAAGCCAAGCCGGCGAGGTCTGTCTCTGTCCGACCAGCGTTCTACCATCTGGCCCGACCCAAGCTGAGTCGACGGACACTGAGTCGGGGACGGAACGGTAGCTGGTCCCGCGTCTGCCCCAAGCCAAGTCGAGCCGGCGAAACCAGTCTTCGTCCGAGCAGGCCAATATTTTCCCATGTACACCTTTTTTCTCTTTTTTTCACTTCCATTACTCGATAAGAACCATCTCAGAACATGGTTATACAAAAACACAAACTACAGTAATAGATCTAGATGTACAGCTAGATAGCATACATGGTAGAATACGTCACAGTATAGCACTCAAATGTTTGAGGAACTTTGACATTTAAGTACTTTTTTTACCAGTTGTGACGTGAACAGTTTACGACATTTAATCATGTTTGGCCAGTGTGTGTAGTATTCATTGACACATTCAGTGCTTAATGTTAAAGATGAATTACAGCTGAATAAATAGTGGAACTCGTCCCCAAAATATTGAGATTTCGAAAATGTCATATGTCCAATAAGTCAGCAGTAAGTGTGATGATGCCTTCTGGGCAAATATGTCCTGGCTAGCTACGGCGTGTTAACACAAATGATTGAGCAAATTACTTGTGTTAGAGCAGCTTGGAATGTTATTTCAGTTGTAGAAGTCCAAATTAACGACTGTCGTAGACGTTACCACTTTTTAAAAATTCACTATCAGCGGATCTTCGCACGATTAGGGGCGAAAAATCAAATATTTAAAGAATCCGGAAATAATAAGTTATATAGTGAGATCAATGTGTACAAAGTGGAACTAAAAAGAAACTAAGTATCTGCTTAAGAACATTACAATGTGACATTTGATGCTGGAAGAACATTCTGTTGACAAATGTACATTGTTGTTTGCAGGTGCCCTGGGCAAACAAAATATTGACGAGCTTGATAAGAACAAGGATGGCAACATTGACCAATCAGAAGCTGAGGAATTGATGGAATGACGAGCAGTCGAGGATCTACTTTCACTTGCTGATGAAAATGGTAAAACACACTTACATTTCATTAAATGACAATGTACACCTTTATACACGTGATTTTGATGTTTCACTAAACACTGGCATTACTTAAGTGTTCTTGTCATTTATTGTGAAAATGTATATTCCTCTCGCTTCACGAATAAAGTCTGACTGACAACTTCAACAATTTCAGGTGATTCGAACGTGAGTGTGGAAGAGTTCTCGAGGAGCATCCATGACTTCATGGCCATAGATTCAGGTAATATAACATAACAAGTAGAATAGTTTGTTTGTATCTGGACCCGAAAATCCAATGATTGACATCATGAGCATCGATCCAAGTAATTGGGATACGATGACATGCATCAACCAAGTCAGCGAGCCTGACCACCCGATCCCGTCTGTCGCCTCTTCAGACAAGCATGGGTTGCTGAAGATCAATTCTAACCCAGAATCTCCAAGGGACAGTAGAATAGTAGTGGTATTTGTAGAAAATATCAAACACCGACATGAAATGTTCTGATTCGAGCGAATGATTTAGGTTGAGGTATGAGGCCATTTTAACAGCATTTCAGCTTTATTACGCTCTTGGAAAAAACACAAAGACTTGAATGTCTTTAACGTGTATAACTTCGTTAAAGCCCTGAGGAAGTGGTACAGCGAGGACAGACCGAGGATCATAATCAGGAGGAATCGGAAACCGAGACCAGCTGATCCTGGATCTTTGAACCACTGGGCCACCCCAGACCCTGATTATTGATTTGAAGGACGACAAACATAGTTGACACACGTGTATTATTTTATACTGTCAATTGTTTCCTTTCAGACCCACTGTTGCAAAAACAACTTGCAGAAGAGTTTGCTGATGCATTTGAGGATGATGCGGAATAAAGCGCCCGATCAACATCTTTATGAAATGATTTCAATAAAAAGATTCTTGCAAACGTAAACTGTCTCCTGTGCTGTTGATTATCAATTAAACTATATTAGGCACTAGAGGTACACCCAATAATCGTTTCAGAATCCGCTGGACGATTTTCCTAGAAACATCAAGGAGATTTGCAGGAGAACCTTGAGCCGTTTTGAATAGAATGGGCAACAATTGTGCTCCCCTCTTGCGGATCTGTTTTTTATGCATATGAATCGGAATTTCTGCTCGGATTGGTATATCAAAACAAGGTACTTTGACCAAAAAGTTTCAGGTATATCGATGATCTGATATCGTTCAATAAGAATCAAATAGCCAATTCCTTTACACTGATCTACCCACCTGAACTAGAAATAAAAGAGACCAGTACGAGTAGAGAGGCATAGCCAGTTACAGTTACAATCGAGTCTGTGAATTCTATATATCTATTGACATAGCCCGGTATCATTAGCATGTGACATAATAATAAATAACAATTTGCACAGTTTTCGAAGGTCTGTCACATCATTTAATTGACACTTTAAAGAAATTCGGGTTGGTGACAAAATATTTTTACATGTACCTATTTCTTTCATTTGTTTGTTATACATCAGAAAATGTAATGAAATTCGTCACCGATTTAGCTTGGACAAGTATGACAAAATGTTTGGTTGTGGGGACTATTTTCCCAGCGACCAGTTTTTAATATTGTATTTTATGGATTGAGGTTTTATATTATAACAATATGGTTTTATTCTTTGTGCCGAGTTTAGGCTGTGGCCATGAAATATTCCAATGTGATTTCACACAAAGGTAGGTGACACCACTAGAGGAAGATATTTGTTTTATCATATATTTCAGAAACTCGTATATTAACTGCATCTTTAAATCATCTGAGTGAAATAATATTTTAGGATTGCCAGATATTGATAGTCCAAGATTATCCAGAAATATTTTAATAATCTGGAGCTATTTCAAGTGGTTATCTCCCCTGTGTATTCCACTGTTAGTCGTCAGAACATTAGTTTCGTGGGGAATCCGTGTTAGTATAGGTCACTGCAACCTATATGCTGGTCATTAGAAGTAATAAAGTGATCAGGTGGTCAGTACTCCCCGACAGCGTGGGTCGTTGATGCATGTCATCGTATTCCAATTGTATGGCTCGATGATCATTATGTCAATTGCTTGATTGTCTGGTCCAGACTCGATTGTTTACAGACCGCCGTCATATATCTGGAATATTGCTGAATGCGGCGTTTAACAACAGACAAACAAACTAAACCAGAATACGTGTGTTTGTTTTATAGTTGCATCCCACTCACCATGAGATACCATGATGATGTTTACATATTTCACATGATACTGGCCCCTAGCTGCCCAGAAAAACAGCAAGTAGTAGTGGTAGTAGTAGTTGTTGTTGTTGTAGTGTAAGTAGTAGTAGTAGTTGTAGTAGTAGTGTTTGAGGTACGAACTACTGTTGCCATCGGACATTGCTGGTGTGACAGGGGGCCAACACCATTAGTAGGATCTGCTACTTCACCCCAGGAATCTAGTCATCTCGTTGTGAACGTGTGAAAATATCATTAGATATCACAATGTTCCATTACACAGCGCAAAATTCTATCATGCTTATCACATTACATCAAAATATGGCACTGACATCCATCTCTCCCAACTGTTACAAGTCACGATGCTAGAGATGCACAACGGATCCACCAATCACATGGCGTTCTACTGAGATATTATCTTGTTGTTTTGGAGTCTGTTTTCCTGTTTCTTTTAACAAGTCTACATTGTAAATCTAAATAAATGTAAGAAATATATGTGTGTTTGTCTCTGTGTGTGTGTGCGTGCGTGCGTGCGCGCGTGCGTGCGTGTTTTGTGTGTGTGTGTGTGTATGTGTGTGTATGTGTGTGTGTGTGTGTGCTGGTACAAGTGTATGCTGGTTTTTTAAGCAAGAGTCCTCCAGGACACCATGTTGTATGACACTGTTTACCACACTCAGACACAGTATAATGGCCATCTGCCAACCAGTCCTTCAGTGTTTGGGGTATTAGTTTCCGTAGTAGTGGTAGTGGTTGTCATACGTTACTATCGCATGTAACGTTCTCGTTGTGAACGTGTTAAAATTTCATTAGATCCATTACAAAGCACAAACTTCTATCATGCTTATCGCATTACATCAAATGCGTATGGATCACGATGTCAATCGCTGGATTGTCTGGTCCAGACTCGATTATTTACAGACAGCCGTCATATAGCTGGAATGTTGCTGAATGCGACGTTTAACAACAGACAAACAAACTAAACCAGAAAACGTGTGTTTGTTTTATAGTTGCATCCCACTCACCATGAGATACCATGTTGATGTTTACATATTTCACATGATACTGGCCCCAAGCTGCCCAGAAAAACGTTTTCTGGTTTAGTTTGTGTGTCTGTTGTTAATCGCCGCATTCGGCAACATTCCAGCTAAATGACGGCTGTCTGTAATTGAGTCTGGACCAGACAATCCAGCAATTGACATCATGAGCATCGAGCCATACCATTGGAAGACGATGACATGCATCAACTAAGGCAGCCAGCCTGACCCAATCCCGTCAGTCGCATCTTATGACAAGCATAGTCCCCTTTTACGGCAAGCACGGTTGCTGAAGCTATATTCTAACCCGGATTTACTGGTTTAGACATGATTATTTACAACTCGTGGTGTCACCTACCTTTGAGTGTAATCACATTGTAATATTTCATGGCCACAGACTAAACTTGGCACAGAGAATAAAACCATATTGTTATAATATAAAACCTCAATCCATAAAATACCATATGAAAATTTTTCATACTTCTACAAGCAAACTCGGTGACGAATTTCATTACATTTTCTGGTGTAAAAAAAAATAAAAATGAAAGAAATAGGTTCATGAAAAAATATTTTTCACCAATCCGAATTTCTTTAAAGTGTCAATTAAATGATGTGACAGACCCTCGAAGACTGTGCAAATTGTTATTTATTATTATGTCACATGCTAATGATACCGGGCTATGTCAATAGATATATAGAATTCACAGACTCGATTGCAACTGTAACTGGCTATGCCTCTCTACTCGTACTGGTCTCCCTTATTTCTAGTTCAGGTGGGTAGATCAGTGTAAAGGAATTGGCTATTTGATTCTTATTGAACGATATCAGATCATCGATATACCTGAAACTTCTTAGCGAAATTACTTTGTTTTGAATTTGCCAATCAGGGCATTTGCATAAAGAAACAGATCCGCAAGAAGAGGAGCACAATTGTTGCCCATTCTATTTAACACGACTCAAGGTTCTCCTGCAAATCTCCTTGATGTTTCTAGAAGGAACATCGACCAGCGGATTCTGAAACGATTATTGGGTGTACCTCTAGTGCCTAATAGAGTTTAATTGATAATCAACAGCACAGGAGACGGTTTACGTTTGCAAGAATCTTTTTATTGAAATCATTTCATAAAGATGTTGATCGGGCGCTTTATTCCGCATCATCCTCAAATGCATCAGCAAACTCTTCTGCAAGTTGTTTTTGCAACAGTGGGTCTGAAAGGAAACAATTGACAGTATAAAATAATACACGTGTGTCAACTATGTTTGTCGTCCTTCAAATCAATAATCAGGGTCTGGGGTGGCCCAGTGGTTCAAAGATCCAGGATCAGCTGGTCTCGGTATCCGATTCTTCCTGATTATGATCCTCGGTCTGTCATCACTGTACCACTTCCTCAGGGCTTTAACGAAGTTATACACGTTAAAGACATTCAAGTCTTTGTGGTTTTTTCCAAGAGCGTAATAAAGCTGAAATGCTGTTAAAATGGCCTCATACCTCAACCTAAATCATTCGCTCGAATCAGAACATTTCATGTCTGTGTTTGATATTTTCTACAAATACCACTACTATTCTACTGTCCCTTGAAGATTCTGGGTTAGAATTGATCTTCAGCAACCCATGCTTGTGTGAGAGGCGACAGACGGGATCGGTAGGTCAGGCTCGCTGACTTGGTTGATGCATGTCATCGTATTCCAATTACTTGGATCGATGCTCATGATGTCAATCATTGGATTTTCGGGTCCAGATACAAACAAACTATTCTACTTGTTATGTTATATTACCTGAATCTATGGTCATGAAGTCATGGATGCTCCTCGAGAACTCTTCCACACTCACGTTCGAATCACCTGAAATTGTTGAAGTTGTCAGTCAGACTTTATTCGTGAAGCGAGAGGAATATACATTTTCACAATAAATGACAGGAACACTTAAGTAATGCTAGTGTTTAGTGAAACATCAAAATCAAGTGTATAAAGGTGTACATTGTCATTAAATGAATAGCAAAGCGTGTTTTACCATTTTCATCAGCAAGTGAAAGAAGATCCTCGGCTGCCCGTCTTTCCATCAGTTCCTCAGCTTCTGATTGGTCAATATTGCCATCCTTGTTCTTATCAAGCTCGTCAGTGTTTCGTTTGCCCAGGGCACCTGCAAACAACAATGTACATTTGTCAACAGAATGTCCTTCCAGCATCAAATGTCATATTGTAATGTTCATAAACACACACTTAGTGTCTTTTTAGTTCCACTTTGTACACATTGATCTAACATGATAACTTATTATTTAAATATTTGATTTTTCGCCCCTAATCGTGCGAAGATCCGCTGAAAGTGAATTTTAAAAAGTGGTAACGTCTACGACAGACGTTCATTTGGACTTCTACAACTGAAATAACATTCCAGGCTGCTCTAACACAAGTAATTTACTCAATCATTTGTGTTAACACGCCGTAACTAGGACATATTTGCCCAGAAGACATCACACTTACTGCTGACTTATTGGACATATGACATTTTCGAAATCTAAATATTGTATTAGGTGTGTTATTCTCAAAGCGTCAGGTATATATCGAGATATATTTGACATTTTTACACCATTCCTCTGTTGACAATATTTAGGGTTAGGGTTAGAGTTAGGCTAAATGCACATTGATGTCCCATCAGCTGTATTAAATACAATCTTTAATAT